ATGCCCCAATCCCGGTCCCAGGTCGGGGCAGGCCGGGCTGAAACAGCTGTGGCGAGCAGGAGGCTGAACTGCAAAACTCCCCATGTGCACGAGACAGATGCTGCCGCCATCCCTCTCCAGCCCACTGCCATTCAGAAGGCAGACGGGGCGGCTTCCTGCACCTCATGATACTTATCAGAAATACACTTTTTTTGGCAAAATTTTTCCATTTTAAAACACTGCAGTACTTAAAACAGGAGCAAGCTGGAGTCCGCCTGCGGGCCCTCCCTGACATTCCAGCCTCTAATGAGAGTGTATTTACTCCAATGCTGTCTGGAGGGTGGTGTCTGACACGGGTCCGACTGCACGGGATGACTCCAAGTCAGCACGGTGGTGACGGTGGTGCATTCGAGCTGCCTACGGCTGGCCACAGTCCCCATCTGGCCCTTCCTGCTTGTCCTCCAGGGTGCAGCTCAGTGACACTCCCAGCCCCAGGTCTCCCTGACTGGCTGGCAGCACTGAGGGCCTGGCTTCCAAGGGGACAGCATCCCGGCTGCCCCAGTCCCCCACCCAGGACTGTGGGCCGCGCCCCCAGCTCCTGGTTTACGTGACTGTCCCCACTGACCTGTGCGTTCTTTGATTATAGGACATTCATCTTGATCAGTTTTGTCTTAGTCATGACAACATTGTTAAATATTAACTAAGACATTTTAGCAAGTCTTAGAATTAATTGTACAGTGCTGACAGCTTCACGTACTTCAGTTAAAGCACCTTAGCATCTACAAGTGCACAGACAGAAAGCGCTTTGGCAAGTGAAGGCAGATGCTCACCACGGCAGAAGCGTAGAGCTGTTTTCCCTGAAGACAGTCTATCATGGCCCACAGCGCCTCCATGCTCCATTCTGGGCAGTAGGGGATCCTCGTCTTTGAGGAATCTCTCGTGGGAGGCTTGAACCCCGCCAACATGACCTTTATGGCCCGGGCTGGGTACTGCATAAGGTGAAGAGGAATTTGACGCAGTCTGTCACGAGAGAAATTCTTAAAATGTTCAGAATGTCACAATTAAAATTCTCTAATAGTTAAAACTATACAACACAGGGAAAAAGTTTATGACATTGATCTGTTCAGTTTCTTAGATATGACACCAAAAGCATAGTCAACAAGAAAAAGTGATTACATCCAGTTAAAGACGGCAAAGGACACAACAGAGTAGTGAGAAGGCAACTGCAGGATGAGAAAACAGACGTTTCTCCGAAGAAGACTCCTAAGCGGCCAACAAGCACATGACGGGATGCTCAGCGTCACTGATTGCGAGGGGAATCCCGACTGACCTGCAGTGGAGTCCCACCTCACACCACCTGTCAGGACGGCCACCGTCGCACAGAAGGCAGCAGGTGCTGGTGAGGGGACAGAGAGAAGCCACGACCCACGGACACTGGGCGGGAACATACGAGAGCCTGGCTGCCACGGAACAGTTTGGTGGTTCTTCCAAATATGAGATTAGAATGTGCACGTGACCCAGCAACCCCACTTCGGAGTGCACACCAGAGGAACCGGAAGCGGGACTCCCACAGCCACGTGCAGGGCAGCATGGTTCACAATCACCGCCTGACGGAAACCACCCAAGTGTCCGCCAACACGTGAATAAACAAAATGTACACCTACATCGGCGTGTCATCATCCACGAACGTAATGAGATTTGGATACCTGCAACAATGGGACGAGCCCTGAGAACATCATGCTAAGTAAAATAAGCCAGACACGAAAAGGCAAACCTTGTATGACTGTGCTTTCATGAGGAAGAACAAAGGCGCGGGAGGAAGGGGAATGGAATGCTACTGCTTAATGGCGAACAGTTTGTTTGAGATGTGTGAAAAAGTCCTGCAAATGGACGGTGGCGATGGCAGCACGATACCACGACTGTACTAATATTAGCCAGCCGACTGCACACTTAAAAATGGCTAAAATGGCATGTTTTATGTTGATGTACATTTTACCACAATAAAAAAAAAACTCAGATTAAACAAATTTCCAATTTATGAGTAGCTGTAAAATATTTTAAGAGTAAGAATCTTTCCAATTGTCAAAAACAAACAAAAACTGATAACCCTAATTCGAGAAAGTTGAGTGTGTTTGAACCTGTTCACTGTCAGCTTCTCAGTCGACCCATAGTCCACGAACTGCACCAGGACAGCCAGCGGGTCAAACTCCTTAATGGACACAATCTTCGCTCTGTACCACAAGCCGTCGTCATACTCCGCAAGGCAAGGCATTTCTGGAAAGAGAAAAAGGGAAAAGCACATTGCCTTTTATTTTCTTAATTTTCACAGAAACACAGTAAAGCACAAAGACAACGTAATTACATCTGTCCATTGTCCAGAATTAAACACTGGACAGCCAGCCACGAGCTGGCCTGTGCCCTGCTATGCCGCCTGTACTGGCCTGAGGGAGGCAGCCCCCCAAGCTCGGCCCAGCCCTGCTGTTCCCAGGCCTCGGTCACTCCTGGCCCTATAGCCAGACTCCGCGAATCTCTTCTCATCGGAGCCGTCGTCTTCTGCAGACGACGATAAAACAGTTCCTGCCACCCCTGCTTTCAAGTCTGTGCTCCTCCCACCCCTTCTAAAACCACCAGGATGAAAAAATCCAATTACACTGCTCTCATTTAAAATCCTTCAGTGGCCTCTCAGCCACCTGCAGCACAAGTCCTCAGAAGTGCAATTGCCAGGATTCTTCAGTACTCCCCGCCAACCCCGCCACCTGTAGTCCACATGCTACCTAAACACAGCTACTTCAGCATGTGGCTGTCCCTGTACGTAGGGTGTCCCCCTGTGTCCCTGTCATGATAAACACCACCTCTTCCAGCAAACAGCTCCAGCGTGACTGTTAAAGCCGGGCTTCCCTGTCACACTGTCTCTGCAGCCCAGTGGCATCGCGTGCACACCGCGATGAGCCGTCACCCGCACATTGGACTCTGCTCCCACATGCCCACTCCGAGCCCGCCAGTCTCACGTTCCCGAGAACGCTGAGTGCATGCCAGGCCGCATGAAACGGCGAGAACGTGAGGGTGACGGCGCGTGCCTCCTGCTTGTCACGCGCTTCCAGACTTCACAGCAGACAGAAGACACCTCGGGCCCACCTTGCTCTCCTTCCACCCCTGGCCCCTTTCTTTTCCATATTCTCTTCTACAAAATTTCCACAAAGAAAGCTAGTTGTGGGCAAACGCTATTTAAATGTGATGTGGCTCTAATGTAGAGATCTTTCACTGTGAATGGTTTTTGTTAGAGTTCTAGAGGTTTTCTAGAACGGTGAGAATTGCATCTGCAGAGCCGTGTGCATGGCAAACCACCGATGGAATCACTATCAGTGGCCCCTTCCAACCTTCGCCATTTCCAGCCTCAAAAATGTGACTGGTTTCATCTCAAAGTGGAACTTTAAAAACTTGCCTAATTGTCATGTTATTTTAAATCCACAGAGCAACTCCTTCAATATAAATTCCTTATTCAGATGAACAAATTTAACTGGCGCTTGCCTACGAATGACGTCTACGTGCGCGTGAAGAATAAAGGACCTATAGCAAACCAAATGATGCGTCTAGAGCTCTATGAGTTACATTCTGTAGACTGTGCGACTTCCCTTGAGATAAAAACACAATGAAAAACTGTTTCTTCCACACTATAAATCTGAGTTTACAAAAATAAAACGATCATGAGTTTATTCTTTCACTCATGCAACAAATATTTATGAGCACCTGCTTGTGCAAGGTGCCCTAAGTGCTGTTGGCACAGCAGTAGAGAGTCCCTATATAATGGAGGGTAGGAGGGACAGAGTGATGGGCCGGAGGGCGGCAGGTGGGGCTACTTCACAGGGATCAGGAAGACCGCCAACAGGGACAGTGGGGCAGGGACCGAGGCCACTCTGCGATCTAGGGAGGAACGCTCTGGCAGAGGGACCGGCAGGGCTAGTGTTGGCTGAAGTGGGGACACTCCAGTGGGTCAAAGCGGGTGCGCTGCTTTAGCAAATCCTCTGTTATGTACAAGGGCCCAGTAAACACCTGTCCCCATTATGCCCATAGTGCAGACGCCACTCCTGGCGTCAGGAGTTGGAGTCACCTGCACGCAGTGAAGCTGGGAGAGTGAATCAGAAAGGAAACGAGCAGGGTGTGACCTAGCCTGACAGAATGGGGTGCAACCCGAGCTCATCGCCACCACTCTAAAATGAGCAGGTTAGGTGCTTTGTGACTGAAGTTACTGCCATTTAGGTCTGAGCAACAACTGTCATAATCTGGGCTAGTGGCAGAACTGCCAGCCCAGAAAGATCACCTCACACAATTCACAAGCCCAGGCGGGCATGGAGGAGCCTGGCAGCCTAGCCCGGGTCCGCTGGGCGACAGCACAGCCTCAGCGGGGCGGAGACCCCAAGGCCACAGGCAGCGCGTGTGGCAAGCGGCACAGACCCGTGTGGTCCTACCTGTGCGGAAGTCCGTGAGGGCGGGCAGGGCCTCCACGCTGGTGTTGAACCTGTGCAGGGCTTCGCCCAGGCTCTCCGGCTCAGGCTCCCAGCTGGCCCCACTGTCATCCGTGTCGCCGTGCTGCTTACATAGACTGCTGGTCTCCACGGAATCGAGGCAAATGTACACCTGAGTGGGAGAAGGGAAGGCGAGAACTTGCCGATGCTGAAGTGTCAGTACCCACTTCCACGGTGATCACTGCGGCACACAGCCTCCAAGGACCCAGGGACCCTCATAGATGTCCCCTCGCCCCTCACTGCAGTCCACCTTTGTGACAGGAAGGACACGACAGAAGTGCAGGTGTGTGACGGCCGGGATAGCAGTGCTCTCTCCTCCGCGTGCCAGCAGCCACAGAGGGGCCTGCCGCGCAGGCGGTGTCACGAGGGGCCTCTTGGAAGGGGACCCTGCGGCCTGGACCGCGGCCTGAGGCGAGACCCCGAGCCAGGACTGAACGAGCAGCTTCTGGAACCCTGGCCCCGCGCTACTTTAAGCAGCTAAATCTGGGGTGATCTGTTATGCAGCAAGAAATAATACGAAAAACACCGTCATAAAGCCAGTGACAGCGGTGCACTCTGCTCCCTGATGAGGTCGCAGAGCAGCCCCTGCTGCTGCCTTTACAGGGACGTCACTGTGAGGCGAATGCAGGAGCTGCATGCGCTGCCTGAGCTGTCGCTTGTCTCTCATTAGTCAAGGACTCTCTCTGTACTGTACTCGTTCATCCCGAGTTCACTGAGTGCCTGCCCGACATCAGGCAGCATCGGGGACATACTGGTGACCAGACAGAAATCCCTGTCTGCCTGGAGTGGTGCTCTGGTGGGGACATGGCAGAGCGTAGGAGGTGCCCGGTGGTGTGGAGCAGAGCAGGGCCCGGAGCACCTGGCGTCCCGGAGGACGGGAAGGAGACAGGTAAGATGCATGGGTGGAAGCAGGTCCAGTTTAAAAGTCTAAACATTTGATGTGACATAACTAAAGCAACAAAACGCTGGGAAAACCAGCAAGTGCTTAAGAAATGTATAAAAAAGTGTCTGATCATGGCATTCCGGGGTGGGATGGGGGGGCAACCAGGTCCCCTGGTTTTCAAGTATTTAAAACCAGTGAGACGGAAACGTGAGGAGCCGATGGCAGAGAGCCGACCAGCACTTCTCACTGTGTCTGCACCAGCGACGACCCGTGGGCACCACGCACCTCGTTCGGCGAGACCACGTGCTTGACTTGGACGGCGAAGAGCTCTTCCAGGGAGGGCAGGGACGAGGACAAGTACGGCGGAAAAACAGGGGTCTCCGTCTCAGACAGAAGCAGCTCCTGAAACACCACAGATAAATGACTGCCACAGAAATGCACGGCATTATCAAATTCATCAGAGTGCAATTTACTCTCAGCAAACAGGAAACAAGCTCTCAGAGACACTCGCAAGTGCCAGATGGTTTTGCTGTAATTGATGGTAAGAAAAAGATCTTTAGAATTTGTCACCCCACTTACAAAAAAGATCGTGTGTAAAACCCCAGACACATGTTTACGTGCAGGTGGTGACACACGCACGTGGCGTCTTGGAAAGCTGGTAACACATCAGTTATGGCACTGCCACCCACGCCTGGGCGGCTGGGGGCTTGGCCTTCTTTCCTTCTCACGCTTCTGAAGTATTTAGCTTTAGAATAAGTATGCATTTTATAATAAAAACTAAAATAATACATGAAATCTCAAAAGAAAATTTAAGTAAGTTAAAATAATTTTTAAAACGTGCTCCCTTAAGCTTTATAAAAGCATAAGACATTATAAAAAAGTTACGCGATTCCCAGAAGGATTATGGCAGTTAGCAGTTGTTAAAAGCAATATATAAAAATATGTGGGGGTTTTTCTTTTAGAAAGTTTTTTTAAATTCTGGAAAATGGCAATTAGCACAAAAAGTAAAACTATCACGTTCAAATTGTAGATTGATCACTATTTAACACTCCAAAATGGTAACAAAACCTATCTGAACCACTCAGTAGAGTTCAGTAGAAAGGGACCACCCACTCTTGAATTTTACTGATTTGTTAAAAGCACTTTATAACAAGCATGTGATATTTTTATAATAATAGGAATGAAATTCTACTTATAAATAACTTTCACTTATTAAAACTGTTACTTTCTACACTAAAAAGGGTAAGTGACAAGAGAAAAAACAGACAAAAGACTCATCACAACTGAAAATGGTACTTCAAAGGACACCATCAAGAAAGTGAAGACAACCAACCCACAGAATGGGAGAAAATATCTGCAAATCATACATCTGTAAGAGACCACTAGAACACAAAATATAGAAAAACTCTTACAACTCAATAAAAACACAACGCAGTTAAAAATAGGCAAAGCAGTTTTTCATTCTCTGTTTTTTCCCAGTTGCACTGAGATAACTGATATAACACTGTATTAGTCGCCCAGGTGTATGACGGGACGATGTGCTACACGTACACCCGTGAAATAGTCACCTCAGTTCAGTTGACATCCATCACCTTACAAGGTTAGAAAATCTTTTTTTCTGATGAAAATATTTAAGATTTATTCCCTTAGCAACGTTCAAACATAGTGTTGTTAACTATAGTTACCATGTTTACATGGCATCCCCAGGACTTAATTACCTTGTAACTGAAAGTCTGACCACCACCAATTTCCCCCACCGCCAACCCTGCCCACCTCTGGCCACCACCAATATGTTCTCTGTGTTCACAAATCTAGTTTCTTTAGATTCCACATGTAAGTGAGATCATACAGTACTTGTCTTTCTCAGACTTATTTTATAGCACAATGCCCTTAAGGTCCATCCATGTTGCCACAAATGGTAGGATTTCCTTTTTATGGCTGAATAATATTCTACTACACACACACAGACACCACATCTTCTGTATCCATTCATCGACTGATGGACACTTAGGCGGCTTCCATATCTTGGCTCTTGTAAATAATGCTGCAGTGACACTGGGGGTGCAGATATTTTTTTGAATTAGTGTTTTGGATTTCTTTGGATAAATGCCCAGAAGTGGAATTGCTGAGCCATAAGGTAGTTCTATTTTTCATTTTTTGAGGAACCTCCACATTGTTTTACATAGTGGCTGCACAAATGTGCGATCTCACTAACAGTGCATGGGTTCCCTTTTCTTTATATCCATGTTGACAGTTGTTAATCTCTTGTCTTTTTGATGAGAGCCGTCATAGCAGCTGTGAGGTGGTATCTCACTGTGGTTTTGATTTGCATCTCCCTGATGGTTAGTGATGTTGAGCATCTTTTCATGTACCTATTGGTATTTGAATGTCTTTTATTTAAAAATGTCTATTCAGGTCTTCTGCCCATTTTTAACTGGGTTGTTTGCTGCTGAGCTGTGTGAACTCTTCATGCATCGTGGATAGCAGCCCCTTACCAGACACACCATTTGAGATTTACTCCTGTGCTGTGGACTGCCCTGCTGTTTTGCTGATCGTTTCCTGTGCTGTGCAGAAGTTTTTTAGTTTGATGTTGTCCCCCTTAATTCTGTTTTTGTTGCCTTTGTTTTCAATGTTAAACCCTAAAGACAGGATTTAAACAGAGATTTTGCCAAAGAAAATATATAAATAGCCGAAGAGAACATGGAAAGATGCTCAGTGTCATCAGTCATCAGGCAAATGCCACAGTGGGATACCGCACTTTACACCTGCTCCGGGCTGGCCAGGAAAAGACCCGGCAGTGAGCACGGGCACGGACCCGGGGAACATGGCCCCCTCGCACATTCCCGGCACGGAAGTAAGTGGAGCGGCCCCTCTGGGCCACGGTCTCGCAGCTCCTCACATGGTAGTGGTCGCCACATGACTCGGTCCTCCACACCTTAGACCGTGCCCGAGAGAAAGCAGATTTTCACCCCAAAACGTGCGAGTGCCACAGTCGCTTTACTCACAGTCACAAAAAGGTGGAAATAGCCCACGTGTCCATCAACGGCTGAATGGAAAAACAGGACGAGGTCTGTGATTCAGCCATAAAAAGGACACTAATGAACCCCGAGACACGCTGAGTGCAAGAGGCCACCACCCATGAAGGGCCTCACATCGCGCCCTGACAGGCAGGCCCGATGGGTCAGCGGTCTGCAGGGGCCCAGGGTGGGCAGGGACGGGACGGGACCACCGCTGGCATGAGGTTTCTCTGGGTGATGAAACGTGGAGTTAGAGTTGCGATGGCTGCACAGGTCGGTGAACACTCTAAAACCACTTTAAAAAGCTGAATTTTATGGTATGTAAACCATATCTCAATAAAGCCATTATAAAAGAAAATGCTACTTCCTGATTTTGTGCCAGATCTTTTGTGTTGATGAACTGTCCAAAGTTTCCAGAATATCAGGACTGAAACCTACCTCGAACCTTACTTCCCATCTTTCCTCCTCATACTTGCTGCTGTCATCTGTTGGTTTCTGAAATATGACATTATCAATGAATAAATCCATCATTAATGACATGACACTGCTTTAAGGCACTTTCATACTTCATCTCCACAAAAACTGGGTGCATGTCCTCACTGGCATGCACTTAGTTGTTTTGGGTTAACTATGGGAAAACCTAATGCTCTGAGTAATCTTAATATTGCACCAGTAAAAATCCTCAGAATTGTGCTAAACGTGTCAGCTGTAACTGGCTTGATATTTAAGGGAGTGGGAGTTCTTTCCTTCCAGATGTTTACGCAGCACAGCGGGAAGAGACTGAGTAATCTGTACAAAGCCTGTTAAACAGACGGAACACCTGCTACGCAAACACGGGGGCACAAACGCATGCACACGCCCGTCCCCCTGAAAGACAGCTGCAGTGAGGACGACTTGTACTAAGCAGTATCACAGTTTCTACTTGAGAGAAGAAAGTACTTTCCTATGTTAAACTGAACACTCGATGTTTGGTTTTGTAGTGTCACTAAAATGAGTATTTAAAAATCTGACATGTGAACTGTACGCCTACGAGTGAAACATTATGACTTATGAAGAACACCCCACTTCCACAAAGCACTTAGGGCAGCTGCCAACATGAAACCAAATCTGTAACAGGGTAATTATGTTTTTTAAATCATTAAAACCACAAGCGCCAGGAGACTGGACAGGGTTATTTCTTAAAGTTAAGCTTAAAATTTGGCTCTGAGTTTGCTGTAAGAAGGCAAAATGAGGGAAATGTTATAATGTCAAATAAAAGGGAAAATATTTGATCTGGGGAGAGAGCCTTTTCCTGGCCGTGAATTCTACCATGATTTTATTACTTACATCTCTCAAACGATACTAGCTAGATATGGGTTTCTTGCTAGGTTTAAAAGCATACAGACAATAAAATCTTAATGCAATTAAAGTCTTTTTTTAGGACATGTAAAATATTGCTTTCACAATAAAGAATTTACAAATTTTCTAGGCTCTCTTAACATCAGACACGTAGAAGCATATTGAAGACAGGGTGTAAGACAAAATACATTTTAACAAGAATTTATTTTTCTATAATTTAGATTTTTATAGAAAAATAGTTAACTTACTTCTTTTAATATCTCTTCAGAATGTTCAAAAGAGCAATATTTATGGTGTGCCATAAAATAAGAAAGTGACATTCCATCAAAATAGAGATGAACAGAAAATTTCTCCCATGGATTTTCCGGTAATTCCTATTTAAGTTCAATAAAGGTTATCAGTATGAGAATAAAGTCTGTTTGAAGATTAAACTTTCATAGCAAAAATGAAATGAGAGTTCTGAAAATCACAGTATTACAAGCTTGACGAATGACTCATTCTATAAAATTTCTTTCCAGATATTTTGGCAGGTTTTGAGGCACTAACTCTATTATTTTGTTTTACGTAAAATATACTGACATGGAAATAAGGTAGAGAATTTTATACTTACTTACTGCACAATAACTTACTGTATATAATTCACTATACCTCATCTTTAGATAATAATAATTCATACTGAGTAGAAGGAGAAAGAAAAGGCACGTTCAGGAGTAAAAAAAATGTTTAGTCAGCACCCTGATATGGACCGTTTCTTGTCACCCGTGCTCTGCCTTAGCCACACTCGCATCCCTGAGGGATGGCCAGTGCCTTCCAGATCTCCCCCTGCTTCTACCCTCTGTCGCCGTCCAGGTTCATCTGTGCGGAGGGTCGGCAGTGGCACGCGAGGCCAGGCCAGGCCGCTCCCCTGCTCGAGCCCTTGCACGGAGCCCTAGGTCCGCGGGCAGCAGCAGCTCCCACGGTCCCCGCTCGCCCGCCCCTGCGGCCCCGTCCCCACACCGCCCTGCAGCTCTGCGTGGTTTGTCCTGCCTCCATTCTGAAGTCCTCTCTGACATCCTACCTTTGCAGGGATTCTCCTTTCAGTTACCTCGCAGACCTCTGTCCCCTGGCTGAGCAGCTGCACCATTTCCTGACACGTGCCATGCCCACTGTGCTGTCTGCGCCTCCTGGTGCGCCCACTTCCCGGGTCGGGAGACCCTACCTTTCCTCCAGGGCACGCGCTGTGCCCGCTACGTCCAGGTCCCTGCTGCCCCGACCAGCTTCCTGGCAGCAGGTGGCCTCATGGTCAGCCCTCAGGTCCGTCCCACCCGCCTGCCCCAGCCTAGCACCTCTGAACACCCTGTGGGCACATGCCCCTCACGCTTCGGTGCCACCTGTTGCCAGAATGAATTCATAAAGAAACTTCCAAATTACTGACTTCGATGCTCATGAAGTCCTCAGAATGAGGCTCACTCAAAGCAAGCTCAGGAACCGAAGCAGCAGCGTCTTTTAGATTAATGCGTAACTTAGCCTCACCCAGGGACATGGTTCACTATAAAAACGCTCCACACCGCGTTGACATCACCTCTGAACCCCGGCTCCCGTGCTCAGGTAATTACCGTGATGTGAATCTCCACCTCTCTCCTCGAAAGCAGTTCCTGAAGGAGCTCTACTGCATCCGGCTGCCAGGCGCCCCCAACCTGTTTGGGGTGACAAACTCAGAGTCATTCACATGTTCACAAAAGAGCAGGAAGCAAACGAAGGCATACTAAAGCAGCCTCACGCAGGCAGCATTGGAGAGGAGCACGAGGAACACAGGCGTAAGACAAACATGATCTTAAACTAGCAATCTGAGCTTCCCCCGTCGTGGTTCCTCAAAGCATTTCATGCTTTAAAAATATAAACCTACAGATATGGGCAGAAGGCGGATGACGTGAAGGCTGAGAACGCAGCCTTGGAGCCCAGGAGCTGGAGGCGGGGGGCTGTGCTCTGCTTTACAGCCCCGAAGGAGTCAAGCCTGCTGAAAGCTTGATCTTGGGTTTCTAGCCTCCAGGACCACGAGACAATACGTTTCTGTTATTTATGACAGCGGTCCCCAACTTTTGTTGCACCAGGGACCAGTGCTCCTATGAGAATCTAATGCCTGATGATCTGAGGCGGAGCTGAGGTGGTGATGCTGGTGCTGGGGAGCAGCTGCTAACACAGATGGAGCTTCGCTTGCTGGCCCACTGCTCACTTCCTGCTGTGCTGCCTGGTTTTTAACAGGCCACAGACCCTTACTGGCGTAAAGCCCGGGGGGTTAGGGACCTGATTTAAACCATAAAACATGTATGTAAAAACCTAAATCAAAACCAAAGCATCATAACATTTTTTTAAAGGCCAATACACCAATGTGGTGCCAGCAATATGCGTTTATTAGGGGCAGAGACTGTCACAGTCCACTTGGTGAGAGGCACATATGCAAGGAGTCGAGCCTCCTGCCACTGTGGGCCACGCAGAAGTAGACTCTGCCCAGCCAGTCCTCGGGGCGGCTGCACCTCTGGGGGCATCATGGCCACAGCCCCATGAGGAATCCTGAGCCAAAACCCTGCAGCTATGCCGCTCCTAATGCCAGAGCCACACACACTGTATAAGATCAGAAAAAGTTTACTGTTGATTTAGATACAAGGTTTACCTTATTTGTGATACAGCAAGGGGGTGATACCACCCCCTTTATCTGATTTCTAGCTTCAAACTTGTTGAAATTTTACTTGATAAAGGAGTAACTTAATTTTTATAATCTTATGCCTTGCCTTCTATGAAGGTATTTCTCTTCATTTATTCAGATCTTTTTATATCCTTCAGTATAATTCTGTAGTTTTCTTTATTAAGGCCCTTTAGCTGTCATATTAAACATTTCTAAGTATTTTATTTTTGTTGCAACTGAAAGGGATTTCATTTTACATTCTAATTTCTAGAAAATTATTAACAAAAACTATTTAAATTAATCATCCCACAAATTACTGTTTACTCACGGGTATGGTATCATGGAGCTGACAGGGAATACAAAACTGGGGTGTCTCAGGATACAACAAAATAGGGTAAAGATGACACTGCGGGATCTTCTCAGTTAATCCGTGATCTAAATATCGTACCTGAAACAGGACAAATAAAATTTATTATTAAACTTTACTATTTAAAAATTAAGGGATAGGAGGGGCTCCCTGGTCTTAAAAAAAGACATCCTAGAAAAATACCTAAATCTGAAATTTGAAAAATCTCTAGAAAAGGCAATACTGTATTTCCTCGTCCCATAATACTTCAAACCCCATTTTCAAGGGCTTTCTTAACACAAAAAAGAGGGTTTTTTTTTTTTTTTGATCTGGGTCTTGTTAGATTTACAAATTCCTTAAGAATAATCCATTTTTTAGGATAATTTTTAAATTTTGTTTTTTCAAGTTATTTTAAAAGTATATGTTTACATTTAGTAAACGTTTTATAAATTCTCAGTCTTTCTCAAACAGTTTCACAGTCTGGGAAACCATGTACAATGTTTTCTTCTTGGGTCGTCCTGGCACTAGGCGTTTCAAAAAATGAAATGGGTCACGGGGAAATGAAGCACAGCACAGGAGTACAGTCAGCAGCACTGTAAAAAGTCTGTGTGGGGCCAGGTGGGGAATACACTTTTTGTAACTTATATAAATGTCTAATCACTGTATTGTACATCTGACCCTAATATAATACTGTAGTTACTGTAATACAGTAAGCCAACTGTAATGGAAAGTATTTTTTAAAAAGAAATAGAATTGAACACAACATACGAGTATATTCCATGCAGTCAGGATGAGCACAGTTTTACGTAATGTTTATTTCTTAATGTGGATCATAGGATAAACTTCAAAAGATATCAGGTTAAGGAATGGCAAATTTACTGCATATACTTAAAATGCAAAATGACCACAAGAAAAAAAGTGATGATTAAAATGTCAAAATACTTTTAAATAAATTTTAAGAAACAGAGGTATTAGATAATGTGAGAAAAAAATAAAGTTCACCACCATCTTCTTTATTTGGATTCCAGGTCTGTAAAGTACGTGAATTATAACTTAAGGAACATGGAAAACAAGCTGTTTTACTTAATACCATGTATACAAATAGGGCTTCCAATTGCAAGTACATGGTACCATTAAAATAGCAGAGGCCAAATCTCTACCTGAAAATATATTCTGGTTATTTGGGTTAGTAAATATACTTAAAAACAAAAACAAAAATTCTTATTACAAATAAGCGTGTAATGCATCTGATTGGTCTTCCTACAGGAATGAAGTCATTAAAAGATATTTTAACCACACCTTCATGTACTTAGATTCAAAAGACCACTTAGCGTTATAGCGTTTAGCCTTAAAACAGTTACACAGTGTTTCACGCTCACCCTGATCATGCCGCCAACGACCTCCATGACCTTGCCTCTATACCACATGGTATCTGATCCTCTCACAGCACAGGCTTCTCCCTTTTTCCAGAAATAAGGCTCCAAAAGACCAAGGCATTTTAAATTACTTTGAATTTCACTCATCATTTTCATTAGCTCAAATTCTGAAGAAATTATTAAAAATAGAAAGCACTTAGGAAAAACTCCTTACCATTTTCAAATGAAGTCATCACCTATTTTTAAAAATTTTATCCCTTAGATAATATTATAAAGAATTAAAAATCAATCCCCACAGTATATAGCTTTAATAAAAATCTAATTCGGGCAGTAGCACCTATATGCTTCAAAATTTGCAACTGACAGCATGTAAATAATTATTCTGATCTCTGATTATAAATGCAAGCACTCTTTGAGGAGTGTAAAAATCACTAAAAGCTCTAAGATACGTGAGATGGCGGAATATAAAAGAACCACCACTTCAAGACACCATTTTGATAGTGCATGAGAAAAACACAGCACGCTGTGTTCCTTGAGCTTAACCCCAGGTGTGGCTGGCATGTGACACCAAGATTCCAGTGCTGCCACTGACTGCGGTTGGCCCACTGTTGTACAATGTGCCCCACGACGACACTGCAGAAGACGAGCTCTGCACTCAGTCCCCAAAACAGCTCTGCCACTTTAGGCGAGGGACCTTGGGGAGCTCCTTTACCCCACAAGCCTTTGTTTGCTCCTCTGTACCCTGGCTGTCACAGTACCTGCCCGCAGTCAGGGTTGCGGGGGGCCACGTGCAGGGCACCCGTAACCGTTGGTGGTGTCAGCCACGACTGTCCGTACGTGCCAAGCACAGCTTCCAGATTAGGCACTAGAGCTACGGGTCTCAGCCACTGGTCACTTCTAGAACAGCCAACTACACAGACTCATTGGGTTTTTCAAACCGAAACATAGTATTTAAGAGATGAACAAATGAGACAAAAATCTGACAAGTTCACAGCCACTGTGCCCATCCCACAGCTGGACTCACTGCCCTGCGAGTGCCGTGGTGCCGGGTGCACACAGGGTCCCGGACACGGTCAGGCCGTACGTAAGCCTGGAGAGCTCAGCGACAGCCTGAACGCTGGCAAACACCCTGACCCTCTGGTCACTGGTTGTGACCTCTCCTCTTCCTAAATGAATATAAACTTTGCATTCTTCTTGCGTGGCCACCAAACACGTGTAAGTGCCGCACACTGGAGCACTGCCACCTCCAGGGGTCCGCCCCATGCTCACCTTAGGCCAGAGTCTCCCCTGACGTCACAGTAAGCAGCGTCTACGTGCGAGGCACTGCGAAAAGCACCGTGTGCGTTACTTCATTTAACCCTCACAACAACTCAGTGAAATGACGTCCGAAGAGGTGAAACCTTCGTCCAGCACATCCCCCTCCACGTCTGCCTCACTAGAGAACGAGCTCCAGCTACCACTTATTCTGACTGACCCTATGTCATGTAAAAGCTCTTACCTGATAATTTAGGTACCACAAACACAGTTCCATCATCACCAACGCAGGTGACTACTGCCTCGAATACTTCCATGTCAGGAATAACTGGCGGTTTATAGCATCCAGTGGGTCTTGGTTCTAAAATTTCCTCCTTAAATTCAGATACCTTGTCTTTACTGGTAATATCAGCAGCTAGTGTGTCAGGGTCCAAGTTAATTTCAGTACAGTTGGTAACCACCGAATCATCATCTTTCAGGGGAATTTCCAGAGACTTCTCAGATAACGAATGGCTGTTATCTAATTTATTAATTCTGTAACATCCAAGAAAAGAATACATCTAAACGTGAGCAAATAAAAAAATTCTGGAGAAAATATAAAAAGAATCCTTCTACTATACTTGAAGTCTAAAGAAAATATTTGCTCTAGTCTAATTTGTTAAATGAAAATGAGCATAATAATGAAAATTATTTAAAATTATGAATGAGCTTCATAAAAAAGGTTCGTAATCGCACTGAAGTGTTTTAAATTACAATCTCATATTTACGCCATACTCTCTGCAAAGCCAGTGAGCACAGCTCAGGCACAGCATGACACTGGGAGTGCCCCTGGGGGCCAACTGAGTCAGCCCGCAGATGGAGCGTGTCCACGTGGCGAGTCGTCAGCATCGAGCATCATAAAGACACCATGTGTTCCTTAAACACACGGCCCATCAGACATTAAGTGTTGGTGGTCATATGCTATATTCATCAGAATTTTTTTACCTCCTGTCGTTCCCTTCCAATTAAAAAAAAAAGTACACCTGCAAAGAAAACCTGGAAGGAAATATGCTTATTTTAGAATTGTACATTTTTGTTTCTTCTATTTTGCTCTATTTTCTTTTCAAAGGAAATAAGCGTCGACAAAATAGCCCCATATGCCCTCAGCTTGCACTGCCCCTTGTCCCCAGCCAAGCTAGCAGGCAGTTCCAGCGCTGTCAAAACGGTGACGGATATGGCGACCGTGGCAGCTGTCATCAGCAATGCTAGCTTGCCCGGCGTTGTTCACGGTAACAGTTCTTTCAAGGAATGGCTTTAGTCTACAGGCAGTGAGCCCAAAGAGACACTGGTGGAACAAAGGTGCAGGACCCAGCCACAGGCCCGTGCCCAGCCTGCCGGTCAGCGCTCGCCAGCCATAGCCAGTCACCTCATGATCCCTCTGCTTCTGACCCCTAGATCTCCCTCCATTCCATTAGCACTGGGGCGTGGGCCAGGAATAAGGTAAGATCTAATAATGCAAGATAAAAACAGCGATCTGGCCATGCATGGGACAAGGTGGCTACTTGGGACATGTGTTTGCCATTGCCACAGAGCCCTACCCCTGGGGGAGAGAGAGGAAGCCAGGACTATCGCAAGAGCCTGGCCCTTCTTCCCTAGGACTTTGCAAAGGCACTTACACCTCGAACGCAGTGCTCGAAGGATCTTTCCATGTGAACACTGCTCGATTCTGTTTTCTGTTACCCGTTTCTGTTGCACACACACATTTTGGCAAACACCTACGAGAACTGCCAACATAAAGCTTAAACATTCTTGTCTCAGCAGTGAGGCCAAAGGGCGCAGATCAGTTCCTGTCATTCCCTTTTCCTCTGGTTTACAGTGTAAATGCAAAGCCAGGGGAAAAAAGAAAAGCAAATGTGCCAGCAGGAGCTCAAACGTTCCATAGCTGATGGGCCCAAATCAGCAAATCGTCAGCCCTGAAGGAGGACATTCTGGGTTAGTTTATACATCATTTTAAAGAACAAACAAGATTCAACTCAGGTGTGAAGGCACATGGACACAGAGGTTTCACATGGGCAAACACGACGCCTCCGTCACACACTGATGCAGAAACGAAGCCCCTACCTCCGCTCTCTCAGGGCCAAACCCTTTTTAATCAAATACTTAGAGACATCCACACGCTCTCCTTTTTCATCTCTGCAGAAAAGCTTCACAGGTAATGGCCATGTCGCGCTGTTTTCCTGCAGTGGTTAAGAGCAGGTAAGTGTGAGACACAAAAGGGAAATCTTATACACGATACCTTTTCATGGGAATTTCCTCCTCAGATCTCCAGGCCAGAAAAACAATCCCCGGCCAAGTAATTTTGATATATGACCAAATTAGAGAGAAAACAGCCTGGAAGAGAGTCAGTGGGGACAATGCCTCGTGAAATGAAATGCCATGGACAGCCGCACCATCAGGTGAAATTTATGTGAGTGTGTGTTGGGGGGCGGGGGCGGCCCAAAGGATAGAGAAACTGAAAAACTTTTTTGTCCCAGAATGTGGGGTTGGGAAATACACTACAGTTACAAGTTTCTCTATTCTTCTAAACTCTGCAAATTTTAAATTGAAATATATTTCCACAGGTGTGCTTTTCCTACAAAAAGCAAAAGAACAAAACATATATTCTCCTTCATGTGTAATTATAAAATGGAAAAAGTACGCACAGAAAAATGTAACATGGAAAAATTACTTATATAAGAAACTGCTAATCAATGTGATAAAATGTATCGAGGTAGAAAAAAGTAAAGGAGGCAATGAATATTTTTAAATTTTTTGAAAAAATATAAAATATTGCCTCCTCTCAAATCCATATCATACACATAGTTAATATTTCACCAGCAGCTCAACCAACGTTCCAGTTTGTAAAGAATATCAAAAGGCTTCAAAAATGCACTCTAGCATAAATTCTGTTTTGTAACATGCAAATTATCAATTCAAGAATATTACTTTAGAAATGTTTTAATTCATTCATGCGATCATTTATGGTACATCTATTATTAAACAGATATTATAACTTGAAATGAGACCCAAAAAGGTTGTAAAAAAAAAATCCAAATAGTTTGCTGTTACTTTCTCAACAAGAAATGAACCTGTAGAAAACATTGATGAAATAATTAGTTCATATCTACTGTGACCCCGTTACACACCTGTAAGATCATACTTGCTACAGCTCCAGTCAGGTACAATGAAAGACAGTCACAAGCTGTCGCTGTCCACTTGTCACTCCCCCCAGTTGGTCTAAAACAAAAAATTTTAACAACTTGTTTTATAACCAATACCACAAAATATAGAAATATAAAATAACCACCATATGCATATATATTTGAACCAACCACATATGTAGTGTGAAATCAGTTTAAACGTGGCTTTGTGTTAATTTCACAATTTTCCTCCGTTTTCACAGCTTTTTGTTCATCCCTCTAATGACGAGGTCCTTGTGGGTAATTTTTAAAACAGGCTGGATAAATCTGTAATTCTAAATGGGTTCACTAAAGCTTCTACACTGTTGGAAGGGTCTTTGAGATCCTTTGGCCTTATCTGTGAACAGGTCTGTAATCTCTCCATTTGTGCCCATCTCTAAAAATGCACACAAATACATGGGGCATGTCTGTAGGGTTCATGGTACACGTCTGTAGGGTTCGGCCCACAATCTGCAAACGAGCCTGTGACGCAGAGACGAGCCTTCCAATTTACAGACAGCACATCAAGAAGGCGGCCTAGACGCTGAGTGACAGTATTTCTATTTCAAAACCAATGAGATGAACTGACAGAAATAAATGTAAAATCCTATATTTTGGTGAAAAAAATCTATGACTTAAGTGTATAAAATGCTATAGCTGCCTAATGAGCATGAGCGAGGAACACGTGCCACTCCTACAAAGTCCTCCGAATGGCAGGCCCTGTGAGGACACCCAGGTCTGTCCTGCCCCCGCGTCAGTGCTGGGCCTTTGGCTGTCAATCTGTGTGGCTGATCCTTCTTCTTCGGAGGAGACGGGACAGGGTAACGCCGGTACAGACAACAAACAGATGCAGACAGACGTGCTTGGGCGCCGTTATGCAATCATCGTTCAGTGAGACTGCAGGTCGAACAGAGTTACAGCTCAGACTGCAGGGCTTCTGACTGCTACTCACAAGCTCAATGTGAGTTCAATGAAAACTGCTTAGACATTCAACCCAACTCACCTTCCCAAATACAGATTTAAACACGCTACACTAACCAAATGTGATGAACAGAATAACATGTTTGTAGTTTTGGTGACATCTGCTCACAATATACCTGAAATAATTCTTCCAACTTAAACCAGAGAACATTTAGAGAAAGAAAGCAGGAAAATCTAGAAATCATGTTATTTTAGGATTATCTGACAAAAACGTAATAGCCTGGAACATGGCATCTACCCTGCCATACATGACGGCTGCCAGGAGTACAGAGGTGTGTTCTGAGGCAAAATGAGGACACATGGCAGGGACGGGGGACATGAGGAGATGCCAGCAGCTGGAGCTGCCTGATCGACGAGCTCCCTAGAGATGCGTGTGCCACAGCACTGGGGGTGTTTGAGCAGGTGCTGACTGTCCACCTACTAGGACAGGTGTTAACAGAAATGACTCATGATGCCACTAAGGTCTGAGTCTGTAATTCTTGTCCCAAAGACACTACGGCTTCACTGCCATGGATTTATCAGTGAAGGGAGGCCCCCTAGAAGCAGCCATCTGCCACTTCCTTAACCTGCAAAGCGAAGGCTGAGGGCGGGCTGCGCCCAGGCTCGGAGCTGCCGGGGCCCCTTCCCACCTGGGAGGCCACGAAGGGCGGTCGATGCCGCAGCCCGTGAGAAGCCGCACTGGGCTTGACCAGCAGCGTTCCCTCCTGAACCGCCTACTCAGGACACACTTTTCCTACATTCCTCTAAGCTACATCTTATTTACAGATTTTCCTTAACAGCTGAAGGTAATCTGAATAATTTCTTAGAGATCTGGTGAATTCACCTTTCAAAAGTTATTATGGTAATTTTCAAACAATCAAAAGAAAGCTGAGTATCACTCAGCTTTGACAATTATCAATACGTGATCGAATTTATTTCATCTATAGTCCCACATACCCCATCCCTGATGAGTTTTCATCAAGTTCTAGTTATCACATGATTTCATTTGAAAAGATTTTAGTTTGTGCTTCTAAAAGATAAGTCTTTTTAAACTAACATAACCATGGTACTGTTAGCATGTCTAAAAAATTTAGCAATTCTTTACCATCAACTTTTCAGACGGTGCTCATTTTTCCTGATGTTTCGGGACAGTGTGAACTGGTAAACAAAACCTGTACCCCGTGGGTGGCTGACATGCAGCTCGAACGCCCCTCCCACCTCCTTCCCTTACAGTTTCTGAAGAAACCGTCACTCGTTCTGCAGTGTCCATGGTCTGAATGTAGCTGCATCTCATGGTGTTCAACACGTTCCTCTGTCTCTTGCGTTTCCTTTAAATTCAGAATTTGGTCTGGAGTCCTGATCAGATTCTGGCTCACATTTTTCTTTTCCAGCAACACCATTCGCGGTGGTGCTGCGTACTCCCCTCGGGGGTCCACGTCATTCTCTCCATGTTAGCAGCCACCAACACTCGTTGTCTGGATCCCTCAGTTTCTTAGGGTTATAAAATTGTGCCATTCTAGTGATATCATTCTTCCTTTGTTAGTCAGAATACTTATAAAAAACAATGTTCTCTAATCGACTGTTTGATTATCTTCAAATATATATCATACAGGAAAGGCAAGACAAAAGCTCATCTCCCTTATCAGAAAGCTCATCAGTGTCAAGAATAACAAGGTGGCTCCTGGAATCCTCTGAAAGGAACTCGTGAGTTCATCTTTTGTCACCTTATAAACTTGGGGACTGAGACAGCTAATGCTTCAATGGGCCACGCTCGCCCTGAGGATGCTCCAGTCCCACCCTGGAGTTTATTCAGGTTGCCTCCTGAGTCCTTTTGTCATAATCCCAGTCATTCTTAAAACTTTCTCGCTTTTTGGTATAAGGTATTCTAGATTCATATTGCACATTTCCTGCCCAAGGCCTAGAATTGGACATTTTCCCAAAGAGCATGAATTTCTTTAAGTGGGAACTGGCATCTGGAGGCCTCTATTTGCGTACCAACGTAGCTAGCTCACTGCTGCTGGGTCCTTCATGTTACAAGCTAAACAACATGTTTTAGCATTAAAACATCTCATGAGTTTCTACTGATACTGCTAATTCAAAACCAGGAGTACAAGGTAAATTAATTTCAACCTCACGCTTTGTCATCTACCACACTGGTTCTTGGTGACACGCACACAGTTACTATTCAACTTACCCCTGACACACACCGGTGCTCCAGTGACACCACCACCACTGTGGGATGCTCACCGCAGCAGGCCTGGCAGGGAGGCAGCTGCATTCTGTCCTTAGCTATGCTCTGCTGAGAATGCAGTCCGCTCTGTGAGGAAGATGCTCTCTGAGAGGCTACGACACCAGCTGTACGGTTATTTCATTTTCCTCACCATTTTATTGATTTATTTATATAAAATATTAACAGTTCCAATATTAAATCAATATTGTTAGTAACCGCTTTTCTCTTTCCCCCATTGTCTTATCTGAAGTACCTACTCCTAGTTAACACCAATAAGACAAACATTAAGCTTACTGGACTTGTCATGTAAACTCTTTCTCACCCCAATTTTGAAATTGTGCCATATCTAATCATTGTGTATGCTATTCTGTCTTTAAAAAAGACCACGTGACCTTAGTTCTTAGGTGAAACGACTTAACGCTCACCAGCAGCCTTTGTGCTGGCCTCTCTCTGGAGAGGATTCTGCAGGCGCCTCAGGACCTCCCTAAGCTGTGCTCTCTGTCCTGGGCCACTGTGGCTGGACGTGGGGCCTGCGGCTTGCCATTTTTTAAATTATTTTTAAAATATTACTGCATTACCTCTGGCATAAAGTGTTGATGACACTGTGACTTTGTTTCTCTTACAAGTCAAAAATTTTACTAGATAATCTCTCAGTGTTGGCATTTGATTTTCAATGTGTAGTTTTAAGTAGTCTTTTATTTTAGAAACACTCTTTGAAGTGGGTTTTTAGTACTTAGTTCTATTGCTTTCAGTTTTCTCCTTTGCAGTTCCTCTTACACGTGTGCTGGGGTCTTGTCTATTTTAGATATCTTTTGTTCTCTTTTGAATCCTCTGGATTTTTATTTTACATTTTAAAAATCTGCCTATCTTGTATTTCTATTTAGGTATTACGTATTGTGTTTGCTTTTACTTTTTTTTTTTCTAGTTTAGTCTACTTTTATAGGATTTTATTTCTAATTCTTTCCTGAGTGTTTTTTAAATCTTCCTTTTTCTGTAATGTTATTTCTGAGTTTTTCTATTTGTTCTATGTTGTTCCTCACACTGTCTACATTTTCAAAAATTATTTCGTTCATTCTGAAATATACAATCACAGCTCGCCATTCTGTGGGTCTTCTGGGTGGTTCTCCCTCACCTCTAGGGACATTCTTGGGCTCCTGATTCATTTTTCTCATAATAATGTGCATGGAATTCAACCATAACTCTTCCTTTTGCTCACATTTTACCAGAAATGCCTTTGGGAGGACGGGGTGAACCACCTGCTTTTATAACTTCATGGCTTTAGGGCTTTCTTTGTGTTGTCCTCCCGCAGTGACAGAAAAGGTGGCCTCATGCTCTGGCACCTCGCTCACCTCCCTGCTTTTCCCTGAATCTTTGCTTTGCTCTGGCCATGTCTGGTTTGCTCGCATTGGGCTCTGTTCCCAGGAGTCTCCCCTCCGTTTGTGTCCCGGGAGAGAGCTCTGATGGCTGGGGTCACTCGGCTAAGGAGGGTCCAGCACCACGACACGGGCGCACTGCAGGTCTCTGTGGTCAGCTAGAGGCAGCCTCTGCATCACTCCCTCCTCGGCCGTGGCTGCTGCTCTCGCATTGGCCTGTCTGCTCTGGGGAAATGCGGTGGCCAGTCCCCACTGTCAGAGCCGTCGGAGCCTGGCCAGCTTTCCCCCCCACGCCCTCCCACGCAGAGGCTGATGCCACAGGCCCTGGGTCATGTGTGCCACACCTGCTGGTATCTGGGGACTCACAGGGAAACCTTGTGCCGACTTTTGCTGTGACGCTAACCCGCAGTCTTTAGTTTTGCTATTAAAGTTGCTGTGTTTTGGTAGGGTTCCAGTAGACTCAAAATCCATGCCATACCATGTTCCCAGAATCCTCTGTAATTTAGTCTTTTTGGTAATTTACACATTTTTAGCTTTCCATGGACTCCTAAACTTAGGAAATAAATTTTATTTCTATCCGCCTTTATTATTTTTTTGATATCTAACACTTTGAATTCTATCTAGATACCTGTCATACTCACCTATCTCTATTTCTTAAATACCACTAAAACTGATGTGCTCCAAATTTTTCTTTCCTTCTTCTTAAAACCTTAAAGTTTTATGAAAATTTCAGAATATGTTAGCAAAATTAAACTGACAAGAACCCATCTATAAAGAAAAATATTTAAAATCACCTTGAATAATAAAAAAATTTACTGAGCTACAACTACCTTATGTCGACGAGAGCACACTCCAAAGACAATCTGCCCGTGGCCTTCAGGGTGTCCTCCAGTTCTCGTAAACACGTGATGTTCACGACCACTTCGACGCCCACGTCGTACAGCAAAACCTGCAAAAACAGTAACTTTATCTACGGCAGGACAACACTTCAAAATATTTTTTTTTGCAAACTGGAAAGCATAATAAAAACTGGATTAAATAACCCAGGATAAAAATACAAAATGCGTTCACTTCCATGATTCTATTTTAACTGCATTTACCTCTACCAAGGAGTCTGTGACCATTCTGATGATCTGGCCTCTTCGCCACTGGTTGTTTTCTGGGATCTCGACAGCACAGTGCATACCGTTCTCCCACTTAACTGGCTCCCATTTGGAGTTTTCATAAGCAGCTACCATCTTTTCTTCTAGACTATGTAAATAAAAAGTATTTTAATCTTCTAAACCTTCTCTTATAACATATAATTCTCAGACCATGTATCTGCTACTGTCCTCCCTTACTCATTCTGCTCCTGCCAGACTGAATACCTGTCCTCCTGACACGCAGGACTAAGTGCACCGCAGGGCCTTCGAACTATATTCACCCTCTGCCAGAGACGGGCGTCCCTAGGTCCCCCAAGGCTCCTGCCGCTCCTCCCTCAGGACCCAGCTCGAATGCCACCGTCTGTGAGGCCTTCCTAAAACTGTCTTCTTCCCCAACGGCTTCATCTTTCTCCGCTGTCTTCATCACCATCCGCTGTGCTAAATGTTTCATTTGCTCACTGTCTTTCCCTCTACTAATGTCCCCCACTCCGAGAACACTGGATGTCACACAGTAGGTGCTCAGTAAGTATTTATGGGATGAATAAATTCTAATCTAGTGAAAATAACCCGTAAATATTCTATTTGTATACGTTTAACTAGTTTTTTAGTGATTACTTAGTTGAAATAATTTTGCTACTTTTAAAATTCTATGACCTCTAGATCTTTGAAATATAGAAAAAAAGAATAAAACCATATGCAATATACATCTTCCTTATATCTTATACCTATTAAGCAAGTTTTCTGTTAATAACCACTGAACATAAATCTTCTCGGGAGATACTACATTACAGATATGCACAGGCAGCTCCTTGTTGCAAAGCGACTGGAGATTCTCATTTGGTAGAGATTTTGCAGACACAGAACTCAAGTTGTTTACTTCATTTGAAATAATTTCTTCTGGAGAAGGATCCCATACTTCGGTATGCTTTTTGGAATTATCTTTGATAGTATAACTGAAAAAGAACAAAACACATTAGCAAAAACAGTAGTTTGCAAAATACTTGTTTGTATTTGCTTAGATCTAGAGATTAAGGAGTTTTAGCTATGACTCACTGTTTCTCAGTTTTGATATTAATAGCAATTTTATTTTTTAAAAAGAGTTTAGTTACCACCGAAGCAAGCATAAAGAGAAAAATCTAAGTCAAACTTTCTATTTTAAAAACAGTTTACAATACCAACTTTGCTCATGAATTCACCATTTCCCATTGATATTTTATACTCACAAAGATTATTCAGTTTTTTTGATAACTTGAGTATTTCTCCTTGATGAAAAAATATCAACCTGTTTGCCAATGAGGATACAAGTGAAAAGCAATTGAAAATAAAGGGTGTTAAAAGCAAAATTGTTAAATGAAGTGTTTAATAAGTCAGGTTAGTTCAGATTAAACACAGATAATTAGATGTCATTTTTTATTTCTATAAAGGAAAACTTGATTTCTTTCACAGTTTGAGATTCAGCTAACTGAGATGACTGATTTTGCTGCTAAATCTAATAGACAGTTTTTGGTCCTCACTGGAAATGAACTCTGAGCACCAGCTACTTCTCCCTTCCTGCAACGTCTCTTCCCTTGGCTCCTGGCTTCTCAGGCGTGGGTTCCTGAGCTACCACTTTGGAACTTCTCGTTCCTGTGATAATCCTCAGCTCCAGCTTCACCCGGACGACTGAGGTGGATGACGGAAGAGATCATTCTATTCACTCCCACGGACTCCTTTATCTTTTATACGCTGGTGACTCCCATATGAGTCACCTAACCAGGTCTCCCATCCATGTTCTAGATCCACACATTCGTCCCCTCCATGCAATATTTACTAGGGACAAACTGTGAGCCAAGAACAATCCTAGATGCCCGTGGTGTGGACAAAGCAGGCAGGGTTCGAGTCTTCACAGTGTGTGCCACAGAGTGATGCTGAGACTTACGTAACTATACAAAAAAAAATTACGACATGAACAAGATTTACACAAAAAAAGGACAATGGTGTGGGCCAATGAAGTCTCGTCTGGTCTGGGAGGTAGGAAAGGTCTCTCTGAGTGACACTTCAGATTTTAAAAGGCTACGCAGGAGTTTGCTAACATTCCAGGAACCGAAACGAAATGTGTAGCTGACACAGTAAGACGACGGGCAACAGCATGAAGCTCATCGGTAGGCAGGGGCCGGACTATTTGGGCAACGTCACTTGTTATCTTACAAAGGACGTATATCTTACAAAGGGTGTGTATGGTGTAACTGAGTGTGACGGAGAGGCTTGACTGGGATGTCACATTTCTCTGTTCACTCCTCGGTGATCAGGGCAGGCAGTGGTCCTGTCCTCTGTTCCCTCACCTTCCTCGTTCCAATGCGCCACCTCCAGACGTCCTGATGCGTGGATCTGTCAGACATGCTGTGTGCTGAGCAGAGGGCCTTTTGCTCCATCACAGCTGTCTGACTTGTTGTAAAATCAAGGGGAGACACGAAGGGTCTTCTTACCCCGCTATGATGTTGACACCGAGTACCCGTTTTCACGTCTTTTGGGTATGTACCCAAGAACAGAACTGCTGGGTCATGTGGTGATTCCACGTTTAAGGATCTGAGGATCTGCCCAACTGTCTTCCACGGTAGCTGTACCATTTATATTCCCACCAGCAATCTACGAGGATCAAATTTCCACACTCTCACCAACACGTTATTTTCCATGTTTTTTTATTACAGCCATCAATAGTGGGTGTGAAATGGTATACTAACAGATTTTTTAAAAAGAAATGTTATTCATTTTTGAGACATATATACACATGGTCCAAATTTTAAAATACAGAAAAGGTACCGGGGTGAACACTACTACTGGATTTTATAACTCCTTCCAGAGAAATGATATGCTCACACACGTATGCAAAGCTGTGTTGGTTAAAAAAAAATCAAACATCCATCATTGGTTCTATGCCCCATCTGATACCTTTTAAAATGAACGTTAACTGGAAAAAACTTATGACTTTGATTCTTTAAAAAAAATTTGGTAAAATGAGAGTTAAGTAAATATTTGATGTTATTAATTAAAACGCTTAATTGTAGCAATGGAAGGCTCCTGAAGTTGGCCAATGCCATCGGTCTTATCATTAGTGAACAGGCCGGCTAACAGCAGGACGCAAAGTACAAGCTTCATGGCCAAGAGCTGCACCTCCAACTTTTGGCTACAATGGAAGCAACAGGACCGTACAGCTCACATATCCAGGTAAAGACATTAATGTTGACGAAAACCTGAGGGCATGCTTACAGGTTGACACATAAATGTCACCTCCTACTGTGTGCTAATCATACTTTATGACCAAGCTAACAAGTTTTTTAAAAACTTCGGCTTTACAGAAGTATAACTGATACATGAAATTGTAAGATATTTAAAGTGTACATGATTATCCAAATCCATAGCTGTATACCTAAAAAGAGTGAAATTTTATTGTGTATGTTATATCTCAATAACCCTGACTTTGACAGAAAGAAAACTCAGTCTAAAGCACTCGAGTGTCTACTCTGACCTCTGTCTTGCCCTCCTGGGGACCTGCAGTGGGCGAGCACAGGTGCTCCCTGTGCCACAGCCCTCCTGGCGTCCGGGCGGAGGGGACAGGCCTGCAGGGACAGGCCCACAGGCCTCCGCTGGCACCCTGCTCCTCTGGCTCAGCCTGAGGCAGGGTGTGGGTGTCACCGACACTGGCTTTCTTCAGCGCCCTCTGTGGAGCTTCTTCAGAAACTCCCTCGGGCCACCCTACTGCATGAGTCCTGTCCTGGAAGAGCCGCTCTGTCTCCCCTCCAAGTCCTTCCACTCCCTAACCACTACTCTGCACTTCCGCGTCTGGCCTGTCCTGGGTCTCAGCACAATGGCTCAACCATGGTTCTCTTTCAAAGTACACACTTGAACCCAGGAAAAAGCCACGTTTCTCCAAACGGAAATGTAGGCCGCTCTACCACCCCACTTCTTCTCTATCCTGCCATTTTGCTTCTCTAATAGGTAGACAGGCTGCCTAAGCAGATGTTCCGCCCAGAAACAAGATGTCAGTATCCTCTTCCTAGATGCGCCTTCAATCTCTCGGAGCCACTCTCGTGGTTTTGGGGTTCCTTAGATAGAGGGAAAAGCCACTCTACTTCTCATTAGACTAATCCCTTCAACGACTGTTCCTGACCAGGATCAGGGGAAACGCCCTTCGCTGGTCAAAGCAGGAATCCTATGGGGAACAATGGCGGTTTCCCTTCTCATGACTGAAGTGATATGTGATCTACACACGAAGGTTCACGGGTCTACTTACCCTACTTCATAAGATGCTAGGCCCTCCTTGACTAGCTGGTGATTAATGCTGGTAGGAGTCATTCCAGGAGCACCGAGAGAATCGAAAAGCTCAACTAAGAGCACATTATCTTCCAGAATTTCTGCAAAACCATTAAGACTAATTTGGGGAAAGAAAGAAATATGTCGCAAAATATACTAAATGAAGCAATTCAAAAAAAAACTGGAAACCTAATTTCCTTCATTTTGCATCCATGAGGTTTTTTACTGAATAATGGTCAAAGTCTCAGTCTAGGAGTAGAAGCAGAATTTTGCAGACACAAAAGAACGGCCAACGCTTTCTACAGCATATACAACTTAGTAAAATGTTCATTTTGGATTACTGTGTACTGTTCTATAATGAACCAAAAGCAGTTTAAAGCTTTTAGGTTCAGAAAGATATAAATTGACATATATTTCATTAAAAAATTGTTCTTTCGCGTTTTTACACTGTTTCATTGGATTCAACCAAGTTCCAGAGGACAAAAGAAATGAATAAAAGTTAATTCAGGTCAGTGATTATTTGCGAAGGTTTATGGTTTTTATAACAATGGCACAAAGTTTAAAACAGCAAAAGCTCAATCTAGAACCCTTAACTGGAATTTTTCCCATCCTTCTGATTTTAGGACAAGCCATCTAACTTAATTTCTTTTAGAAACCAAATTGGCTGCTTATTAGATCTATTTCTTTAACTATAAACCAAGAGTTAGCTGAGGGTGAAGTCTGCATCTCATATGCTCATTCACTTATCTACAGCACTCAGCATAGCAAGGCTGCTTGGTAAATATCTGCATAGACGACAGAAGAATTTCTTTAAGTAGCACGTACTTCCTTCCATGCACTGGGATCAGTTTATGCCTCCACCTTCCAGGCCAGCGGTCCCCAACCTTTGTGGCACCAAGGAGTGGTGCTCCTATGAGAATCTAATGCCTGAGGATCTGAGGTGGAGCTGAGGTGGTGATGCTGGAGCTGGGGAGTGGCTGCAAATACAGATCAAACTTCACTGGCCTGCCCGCCACTCACCTCCTGCTGGGTGGCCCAGTTCCTAATAGGCCAGAACCAGTACCAGTCTACGGCCAGGGGTTGGGGACCCCTGTTCTAGACATCAGTAGTTGGTAGCAGCCGGTCAGAATGATTCCAAATAAAAAGATAAATTGTTACCAGCAGTAACACCCTATATCATCTAGTCTTAAGAAAACATATTAGAAAACCTTTTCAAGAACTTAAAATCATTTCTACTTTTCAATGCATCAGTTATATTATCTAGAAACAAAAGGCTAAGCAAGCAACGCTGAGCCTCAACCACCTCTGATCTCCTTACTTCCCATCTCTCATGTCCCCATCACGTTCTTTATTCCAACAGGGCCATCCTCCCAGTGTTCTGTCTTCTCCCCCTCCCTCCTCTGCTCCTAATTGAAATGTAAATGTCCCTTGCTTTATAAGATAACCATACGTGTTAATGCGAGGCTCACATTCTCATCTGGAAGTTCACTTTATTATAAATGTCTTGAACTCTTGATCTCATTGCTGTGCAGGTTAACGGGGAAAGTTATTTTAGGTTGAGCAGGGCCTCTGGCAGTCCTTAAATCAAATTATGTAGGTAGATAACTATGGTACAACTAGTGTTTGGATGTGGTTGGTATAACAATTAAGTGAGAAAGAAAGAAACCCGGGGAGTCAAGGTCTTGACGGGTTGGCCAAAGGAAGGGACATTCAGGGAGGAGCTGAAAACCAACAGAATAAAACATCGCAAGGAGAGCTGGAAGGAGAGCTGTCCAGGTTAACGCTGGCTTGAAATCAGGGGGTCCCTGGAGGGCTACGTGGCCCTGAATTTATGGCTCCTTGCAGAGGAGCCAGATGTGAAAATTCAATAGACTAATGTGATTTCTCTAACCATATTCCTCAACATAACTATTTCTATAGAACACTTTCCTGTATCAAAGTGAGTAATGATCACAGATATGTCATCATTTCTAGGTTATGTGACCTCGAGCAGCTGATCCCTGAGGTTCAGTTTCCTCAATGTAAAACAGGCTAATAAACTTATGATGGCTGGGTTCATAGAATGGTGGTATGATAAAAGTCAAGAAGTGGATATAGTAAAAATGACCCCTGCATGTGCCATAAATCAACCCTAAGTAAACCTAGTCTATGTATCCTGCACTGGCACTCGTCACAGCCCGTGCTGGTCACAGCTCTGGAACACAGCAGGACCCCAGATAAAAGCATTCCCAAACCTCCTGTCCAAACCCCTTGGAAGCAGATGAGTGTCAGAATTCCTCTGAGAAAAGTTCCACCCTCAGTGGATCGGGGCAGCAGCCACAGGCAAGCATCACCATCCCAAAGTGGCACAAGGGCATGTCTTAGAGTACTGTTGTTTTGTCACAGTGTCGGTGACATGCGGCAGGACATGACTGGTATACACTGACTGACCTATGGAGAAACTGGTTTTGTTCTATGCTGTTTCTCTTAAAGTCACGGAATCTAGCTATGATGTTAGGTGAGGACTCGCTCGCTGTGTGAATAATTGCTGTAAAGGGGACAAAGACCACACACATCCTCATGGCGGTTCAAATCAGTTTTTGTCATTAACTCTTGATTTTTACAACTTGTTGCTCAGTGCCAGCCTAGGTCTCAGACCCAAACTATGCAAAAAGAAATTTCTTCAAAACATGCTGAAAGCCTACCACTGAATTCATTTAAGTGAAATGAAAGGAAAAACAAACAAAAACTACTTGCCAGTTATGTCCCATCTCCTCTCACTTTCCTGCCCATTGAATGCTGGTACCCGACATGCAAAACCTGGGCCAGAGCCCTCACAGACGTGCAGAAAGCAGTAAGGGGAGCCGGTCCCCGGCCTCTGGGCTCTCAACAGGCCACCAAGAGTGACCTGGTCTTTACCGGCACACTCTGCCTCATACGCTGATTTCAGACCCTAGAGCCTGCAGAAGATGTTATTCTATTTTATCCAATTTCAATAAATATCATCTATTCTTACTGATGACATACTGAATCAATTCATAAGATCTGGAGAATGTCATGTTATTCTCATTTAAAACTATGTATGAACACATAGCAAAAAATAAAAATGAAAATAACTTACTAATGACTGAACATGTCATAAATTTATCTTGAGTCTTTTCTTCAAATTTTTCTTTAGCTTGTTCAGACCACTGCGTTGTCTTTTTACACGGTTCAATATAGGCCAGCTTACATTTAATTGCCTGTGTCAAACAAAATTGCACCATTAAGAAAGTAAGCTTAATTTCTAGTTATTCTAGAATTAAAATAAAGTTTTATGTGTGTTCAAACTAAACTTTCTGTTTGAATTTAATACATATTTAGAAAATAAATGTGCAAAGATGTCTATAACAGTACTTTATAAATGCAAATAATTAGAATCAAAAGGGTATTTGGTTGAATGAATTGTAGTGTACTCAGATACTGGAATAACAAGCATTCATTAAAAGAATCACAGATACTTATGCTACATGTTAAATGAGAAATGCAGGTTACAGGACTACGTATATTCTAAACCCATAATTGTTCAAGACACAGAAGATGCATCTTAGAAGTACGTATTTCAAAAACACTGAATACTGAGTGATTCCCCTTGTTTTGCTCATCTATATTTTCAAGTTTTTCCTATAACATTCTATCCATTTTTAAAATGAAAAATATTGCTCAATAACAATTCAAATACCATAGGAGTGAAATAATAAGCCCCTTAACCTTACTTATCGATGGGGTGGGGGATTCCAGGGGCAGAATAAATCTTTTCTTACTCTTCTAGACATCACTCTTTCTCCTGCCATGTTATATACACTAAAAGCTGCCGACCAGGAAGTACTTACAGATGCGAACGAACACACACACACACACACACACTTTATAGTTAATGCGTATCTGCTGAGACATGCACGCTATTTCTTGAACAGCAACAATTCTCTATAGCCTTGCAACAGACATTATTTATAGATAGAAACAGTAAACAGAAGATTCCTACTGCAAAAGTGACTTCTGAAGCGACTTTTACGTATATGCTAAAATTCCAACCCTGTGATTCACAGTAAGATTACCTTCTCTGGGGGATTCAGAAACTCATCCTTTATTTTACGCATTTCTCTAAGTGTTATTTTTGCAGTATTGCCAAAGTCTACATATTTAACTTCAACTTCACGATGTCCAGGCAATCCTTCAAAAATTATGAAATTAGAAATCACAAACTTGGAAAGAACACAGAGAACTATCTAGCAAAATGTAGAATGATCTATAGTCAACTAGATTAGAATATTTTTATGTTCAACATACAAATTTAATGTTTCAAATGTAAAAAATATTTCTAATATGTGAACTTTAAAAAATCAACCATAATTCATAGTTGTGAAGACTTGGTGAATGGGAAACTAACAAGATATCCAAAGGACAAACAAAACCAGGGTAACAAAATAATGATCAAGTGCTCGGTGTTATGGCCTAAAAGATAAGAACTGGGGTTTCAGTTTGACTGGGTCAGAAACCTAGCTCAGTCCCCGGATTCCATGTGACTCTAAGCGAGCTAATTAACAGCTCTAAGATACTACTCTGAGCAAGTGACTTTTTCTCTTCAACCCTCATTATTTCATCTGTAAAGTGGGCATATCAAAACAATCAAATCTTGTTAATAAGATCTTTTTTTTTTTTGCTTATTCACTGGCTTAAAATACTTTGCGAAGCACCAAGCACAAAGCAAGCACTTAATAAATGTTTACTGTTAGTCAACATAGGTGATCAAACAAGGCAAAAGATTTAACTATTAAACTAAAGATTCATTTGCATGATATCTAACTTAAAAGTTTTTTTTTTTTTCAATTTCATTTTGGAGAATATTGTGAAAAACAAGCAGTGACAGATCTCTATGTTAATCTAGTCTCTATATTTTAAGGATACCAAAGAAATTTCTGGAAGTTTCAAATATATCGAAGTTTGAATAAAGATCTGTCACAAACTGACCTTTTCATAAATGCTCAAAATAACTTCAGCTTCTCTCACACGTATGTACAGTGCACTAAACTTGTTGCCATCACTTTCAAATTTAAGTACCAATACAGAACACGTAACTTCAGTATGGGAGAGTACAGGCATCCTTTACTTCTTGACAGAAGTGAATGCAAGTGGAACAACATGGTACTCTAGATGCCACTTCCAACGACTCAGGCCCTAGTAGTAGGTATCGGTGGCAATCAAGGAGACACTCGCCACTGTAAGCACACGGTGAGAGGCGAGGGAACCTCTCCCCACTTCCCCAGTAGATTTCATGCTAGAAGGAGATTCTCAACTGCACCGATGCCATGAGGTCCTTACATTCCTCAGGTCTCTGAATGAAGATGCAAATAAACCCACACACGTGGGATGAAATTTAAAGAGCATTTTTTACTCACGTTACTGACCATGCATGAGAGGAGAGTCAGGAGACATGGAAGGTCTTAGAATTTACCATTTATTCTCTCTGAGGAAACAATCAGAAGATGCTCCACCAAAATAAGGGAGAAACCGAAGAGGTAAACATGGGATCCCAAAAACAAGGGGTCCCACACAGAACAGTGAAGTGTATTGCCAAGTAAAATAAATTCCCAGAATAACAAAATTATAGTAAGCCTAGGGGACGAGCAGTCTAATTGGAGCAGAAGATGGAAGGGTGTGTTCACCGTTAAAAAAAAAATCAAACAGACACTATCTGAAAGTCTAATCATGTGGAAAACTGTTTTGAAGTATTAAGAAGTTGTAACCATAAATTAAAAGAAAATAAAGTGAAAAGCCAATGCAATTCTTAACTCAGAATTAAACAAAGTATACTTTATGGCTTAGCAGTGAAAATATTTACATAGAATATTAACTAAAAATTTTCAGACAACTATGGGTGCTAAGAAGAGAATAAAAGAGCTGTAAGAGATCTAAAACATCTATCATATAATAAATAATATCTGAGATTGAAATATCAACAAGGTATATAACATTATTTAGAAGAAATAACACCAAAAGAAACAGTTGAAAGAATTAAAAGTATTTGTCTTTTAGAAAGAGAGTGGAATGTAAGTCATTTAGCATTATTTAACATTTTAAGTAAGGCAGACATTAAAATACAAAAAAAAGTTAAGTCCTAGTCAAATCAAATGAAACCTAAGGGGCCAGAGATTCATCTCCCAACATTATCACTAGCTTTCTAAACACAGACGACAGAGAAAAATGTTAAGACCAAATAAGACAACCACCACGATTCAATGTGCACCAATGCAAATAGCAGCAGTTTTTAAGCATAGCATTTTTCTGTAAAAATAGTATGCAGCGTCCTACCAATGACTTTCGCTCGGTACCAAACTCCATCTTCAAATTTAGCTACACAGGCTTGATCTTGAACTGGACAGAGGATTTCCAAATTTTCCCCATCTTCACTTTTATAGAAATCTTCAATTGACTTTAATAGAAATAAAAAATCCAGGCTCTCTATCTAAGAAATAAAGGGATTAAAACACTGTAGTTTCAGAGACACTTAAAATTTAAATGTTTGTATTATAGGCACCGCTCATAAAATTAGGAAATTACAGAACAGGAATTAGACATAAATCAATTGTTATACAATTTATATTTGAAATATTTTAGTTCCAAAGAATTATATAAAGTCAGTACGTATAGATATAAAACATTTTAAGAATCACATTCCTCCAGGAATCTTAAGTGTATGTCCTTCTCAGTATTTTACAACACACAGACACTTTTTCATGCTTTTGTTTTTTATCAAAAATGAGGTCACACCATTTGTACACTTTGGTAGCTTGCATTTTTCTATCAATTTTCACTTCTCTGTTTCGGTAAGTGTTCCCACTAGTACGTCTAGACCATATTTAGATTTCCCCAACAGACCGAACTGGTGTTCGGTCTGGCTATCTCAGTAAGTCCAGTGCAGCGTTCCTTTTTTTAAAAATGACTCTATGTTATTGAAGAGAGTCTGCTATTTTTCTGCAGAATGACCCATTCTTTCGATTTACGTGGTCATGTTCTCATGCTGTTATTTAGCTTGTTCCTTCACTGAGTAGGGTCTGTCCCCCGAATTTCCCTAAAGCTGAAAGTTATATCTACAGATGTGATGGATTTAAGCCAACCCTTTTTGGTTAGAATACATAACTAAACCTTTTCCCACATCAAAAGACATAACATTACTGAGTCACCATGAACATGCTAAGACGCATCTGTGGACTAGTGGGATGATTCCGGCCCCTTCATCGGACAGCTGTGCCCCGTGGTGGCCATGCCCCATGGTGGTCATCCAGTAATTCATGTGCTACTTTGGCCTCATATGAATGTCCAGTTTCCTATTAACCATCCATCTAATAATTTTAAAGTGAGTTGAAAAAATGTTAATAATTTCAGGAGGATTTATGAAATAACAGCATTATTGATTAAAATAAAGCTATTATTAAGTGAGACTATTTGGTTACCTTAAAACACAGTTCCCAAAGTTCCTATAGTACCTAAGACATAGTTCTTAAAACAAAATCAAAGATAAATGGTTGATTATTTCTCAAAATACTAATTCTTCAGGTTAAAAAATATTTTAAAATATACCTCAACTGACAAAAAAATTAGGTTTTTCTTTTTTGTGAGCATAATAATACATATGGAAATTTTCTGAATCTCTCTTTTCTTATTATTTCATTTAAATTACTTTAAAAACTACTTTAGACTTTCTGAACTTTTATTTCTAAGTACATGTTATTCCTATTCTTTAACAGGTTATCCAAAGTGAACACTGAAAAATTCGAAAGAATGACAATCAGCAAAACAGCTGACTAGGAAGCTCCAAGCTATTGTTCTACCACAGAAACATTGAAAAAACAAGAAATCATCTAAACCAACTTTGTCAGAGCTCTTGAAAACAGTCAAATGTTTACAGTAAGCAAGCAAACACCCAAACGAGCTCTTGGCATTCAAGGTAATCTCTGTCCAAACATTTGCTGAATACAAGCTAAAGGAACAGAGACTTTGGTGATCACACACAAGGAATATTCTTTGCAAAAATTGTTTGGAAAAGTTACAAAAACTGACAACTACAGTCTTTGACAACAGAAGAAAAATCCAGCAAACCCAGGGTGGGGAGAGGGAATCAGATTTTCAGAAGGCGCACAAAGAAACAGGAAAACATGACTCATTCAAAGGAATTAAAAGAGAAACTGCCCCTGAGGAAGCCCAGATAGCGTACTTACTAGATAACGACTTAAGAATAAATGTTTTAAATATGCTCCAAGAGCTAAAGGAAAACTTGGACAAAGAACTAGAAGGAACCAGGAAAACAAAAGACAAACGAGAGAGAAATTGTAAAAAGGAATCAAACAGAAATTGTGGAGCTAAAAGTACAAAAGCTGAAATGAAAAATACACTAGAGGATTCAAGAACAGATTTGAGAAAGAATCAATGAATCCGAAGATAAGACAATTTAAATTATTCAGGGAGAAGCAGAAAGAAAAAGAATGAGGTGGACAAGAGACTAAGGGACTTGTGGGACACCATTAAACACAAGAATATATGCATTATGGGAATCCCAGAAAGCGCCCAGAGAGGAACAGAAAGATTTGAAAAAATCATTCCTCAAACATCCTAAATTTGATGAATCTACAAATCCAAGAAGCCCAATGTTATGAGTTGAATTGTCTCTCCCCAAAAGACAGTTGAAGTCATAACCCCCAGTGGTGCAGAATGTGACCTCATTTAGAGACAGGGTCTTTACTGAGATAATCAAGTTAAAATGAGGCCATGTGGTAGGCCTGAATCTCATGGTTGGTTTCCTTATTAAAAGGGGTAAAATGGGCACAGAGACACACACAGAGAACACGTATGAAGGCCGAGACTAGGGTGAGGTAGAAGCCATGGAACACCAAAAACATCCAGCTAACCATCAACGCCCAGGAGAAAGGAACCAATGCCCAGTCCTCAGAAGGAACCAACTCACGTGACAACCTGATCTTGCACTTCTAAGCCCAGACCTATGAGACAGTAAATGAATGCTGTTTAAGCCACTTGTGGGGCTTTATTATGACCATCCTAGGAAATGAATGCAGATTTTGCTGCTGGAAAGTAGGGTGTTGCTGTAACAAACACCTACAATGTGGGAAAGGCTTTAGAATTGAGAAGTGGGTAGAGGAGAAAGAGGTGTGAGGTGACTGAATAAAAAAAATCCAGATTGCCTCGAAAAGACTCTTGGTAGGAATATGAACATTACAGGTGCTTCTGGTGAGCTCCCAGACAGAAGTGAGGGCTGTGTTGCTGCACGTGGGGAGAAGGGCCATCCTCATTACACAGTGGTGGGGAACGGGGTGAACCACGCTCTGCTGGATGGACACCAGCTGAGGAAACCTTAAGCAAAGTGTTGAAGGTGCTGCCTGCTTTCTCCCTGCTGCTTATGATAAAACATGGGAGGACAGAGATAAGTGGAAGAAAGAATTGCTAAATATAAAGGACCAGAACTTGAAGAGCTAGAAAATTCTCAGACTATCCATACTGTGAAATATGAGGAAGCATGCTCAGGAGAGAACACGAGGGGTGTGGCTGGACACTGTTTTATGAAATAACTGTATTATCGATTAAAACAGAGCTATTATTAACTGGGACTCAAGAGATTACAGGTGTGTGAGTCATGGGTCCAATCAGTCTCCTCAGCAGATACTCTACCAGCTTCAACTGCAGGGGATAGAAATGGGCATGGATGAAGGAGGGCTGCTGGACTGGTGGGATTCTGGAGGCAGAAGGTGAGCTGATAGAGCTACCGGCCATGAACGTGTGTTATCTTCTAAGAAACAGGAAGAATGACCCTGAAGGTGGTTCAGAGGCTGGTGTGTCTGCCACTGCCACCACGGGCCCAGAGGGCACACGCTTGAGAAGCAGGCCTGTGTCCTTCTCTGTTCCAAGGGGTGAGGACAACTCCCCAATTCCAGTGCGTGAGGCTGCTGTCGGGGCTGAGGGGGCAGGGCCACCACCCAGTGAAAGAGCTAAAACTATAAAACTCTTAGATGAAAACAGTGAGAAAGCTTCGTGATGTTAGATTTATTTGGCAATGATTTTTTTGCACAGGACACCAAAACCATGGGCAACAAAAGAAAAAACAGATAATCTGCACTTTATCAAAGTTTGTGGATCAAATACTGCTATCAAGAGAGTGAAAAGGCAACCTGCAGAAGGGCAGAAAACATCTGAAAATGATAAACCTGATAAAGGATTAATATCCATACTGTATAAAGAACTCCTAAAACCCAACAATAAATAATCCAATTAAAAACGGGCAAAGGACTAAAATAGATATTTCTCCAGAGAAAATAAATAAGTACATGAAAATATGTGCTCGATAATATTAACCATTAGGGAAATGCAAATCAAATCCAGAATGAAATACCACGTCACACCTTAAAATGGCTAGTATTTTTAAAAAGGAAAATAACAACTGTTGGTGAGGATGTGGAAAAACTGGACCCTTATGCATTGTTAACAGGAATGTAAAATGGTGCAGCTGCCATGGAAAACAGTTTGGCAGTTCTTCAAAAAGTTACACAGAATTAGTATTATAATCCATTAATTCCACTTCTCATTATATACTGCAAAAAACTGAAAGATGACAGCCAAACACGTGCACACCCATGTTCCTAACAGTGTAGTCACAATAGCCAAAAGGTTGACACGATCCAGTGTCTGTCAACATATGGATAAACAAACGTGGCATATACATACAATGAACATTATTCAGCCATGAAAAGGAATGAAATTCTGATGCATGTTACAGCATGTAAACATTATGCTCAGTGAAATAAGGCCAATACAAAAGAAAAAGATTGTTAGTTTTTCACTCAGGAGGCACCTAGACTAGGCAAATTCATAGAGAAAGAGTAGCACAGGGGTTACCAGACCCTGGGGGAGGGGCAACGGGGAGTCGCTGTGGGTGGGGACAGAGCTTCTGTCTGGGAAGATGAAGAGCCCTGGAGGTGGACGGTGGGGATGGCTGCACGGCATGAGGAATCTGCTCAGTGCCCCTGAACTGTGCACCTGATGGTTAAATTTTGTTATATTTTACCTCAATTTAAAGCACTAAAAATATTCAACAAAAGGAAGACGCTAAGTTCTACTTCAGTGCCACCCAATCTGGCGGGTCACACCAGGTGTTGGGGGCGGCGGCACAGCATGGTGCGTTGTCTCTGCGGCCCACGTCCACTTTGACTCTGCCCCTCCGTCCTGCGCGGCCTTGGGCCAGCCGCTCCTGGCCTTAGGTTAGTCTCCACACCTAAGTGATGATAACGGTGTCTCCCTCATCGGACTGCTGTGAACATTGAGTTAATTCACACACGCATCATGGCCCTTAGAATGTGTTAATTCACATAAAACGCTGACACAGACAGAGAGATCAATAAAATGAAATTGTTGTCAGAAGCCGTCAAACCCATCAGTCACACATCCAAAATTTAATATGAAATGCCTTTCATCTGAAACTCTTTTGGTGTTCAAATTCAGAAAATTATCTAATAATAGTCAGTGAACCCTGAGACACACACAATGAGAAACAGGTTTCATCATTCCGTTTTGTCGGCTCCACGTGCCTTCCTAGTCGCTACAGCGGACCCTTGAACACAGGTCTGAAACTGCACGAGTCCATTTACGTGTGGATTTTTTTCAATAAATAGGTGAAAATATTTTTGCTTCTTTGTGATTTTCTTAGTAAAATTCTTTCTCTAGCTTACTTTACTGTAAGAACATAGCATATAATACATATATGAAACATGTTAATTGTTACCAGTAAGGCTTCTGGTCAACAGTAGGCTGTTAGTGGTTAAGTTTTGGGGGCACCCCGCGAGGTTCAAGGGTCGACTGTAGACTTCAGACAGTAGCAAGAAACGTTTACACGTTACACAGCCGTCACAGTCCTTTGCCTCCACGTAACTAGCTTGCGTGATGAAGAATTGCTTCAATTTACTGTGAATCACATGAATTTCTTATTTCAAGTTGCAGCTACTAAGAAACTTAAAACTACAGATGGTTCAGTGGTTTGTTTGCTCTAAACTTCACACTGGGCACTCACTGTTATACATTTCCACTTAAAATTTGCAAAGGAACACTCTATACTTACCAACTGAAGATAGAAATCAGTAGGGCTATTTATATGACAAACCATAACGGAAACATCTGTCATTTCTTTAGGCAAAACAGGTGGATGATAGTGTAAAGTCGTATTTTTTTCAGAGTGACTTCTTAGTGATTGTGACCTAAACCTAATTAAAAGCATAATTAAAAGCATAAGCAAGAGCCATTTTCTTAAAGTCTCTCTTCTCTCAGTGACTTAATTTGAAAAAAGGACTTGGACATTTACTGATTTATCTACTGAGTATTCCCGTTCCAATTTCTCTCTTTAAACTTTATAACACTTTTTGGTATTGTCTCTAATTATCAAACCAAGTTAAAGAAGATGTCGTCTCACAGCTCAGTAATTAACCTTCCAGTCTGCGTTGGAACATTCTTGAGCTGGACCTGCAGGTTCTACTCTAAGTCTCCCAGTCTCTAGCAGCACTCGTCAGGCCAGCTGAGGGTCTCTGCAGCCTCTGCCAGCTCCAAGACTGTTTCTATGTGTCTAGGACGGAACCTAGTTGGTTCACTTCCAGAGCTGTGTAACTGCTCACGACAGAGAGTTAGTATCCCCATTTCTATGGTTACGTAATCACTTCCGGTCATCGGAGATGAGCGAGAAAGGACCTTTAAGTATCTAGGTTCATACACTGAATGGAGTAGTTAGAAAATTTAAGTCAGAAACTGGTAACTACAATTCTTGAAACCCTAGTGAAGCTGCTTGTGAAGCTATCAAGTCTAAAAAATGTTCAGTATCTACAAAGATCTATTTTCTTGATTTCTTGAAATGAAATTACCTGAATGTAGCTTTCAGAGACAACTGTCATTAGAAAGCTGCCGGCAGTATTTTTAACTTCCTGGACTATGTTGAGGTTCACTTTACCGTCCGTAGTTTTTAAAAGTAAAACCTACTATTCCAATTTATAGCTATAATCTCATAAAGATAACTAAGTGACCTACCTCGCCAGCTCCATAAAAACGAGTGCGTCTCTAAGAGACACAGGCATGTCGCTGCTTATTTTATTGGCTGGTGGCTTCTGCAGATCCACAATAAGCAAGCCATCTTCTTCTCTAAAAACTTTCATTAAAACGGCCTTGTTATTTACCATTTTCAAAAATTCTACTTTAGCTTCTTCTCCCCAGCCTTCACTCTGTAGAGACAGTTAAATTCCAAAGTACTTAATAACTATAATTAGCTCTAACGGTAAAGTGCTCTGGACTTAGCTTTATACCGACTGGAGTCTCCAAGTCTGAGCAAAGGCACCGCACCAACCACAGACAGCGAGCAGCAGCCAGGGCCACCAACCCATGGGTAGCTCTACGTGCACACGATGCACGGCCACGCTCTGACTGTGCACACGCAGGCCCATGGTGTGCACAAGCTGCTGCGCTTTAGGGCTCAGTCTCACTTCTGAATATCATTAGTATGAAGACTATAAAAATTTTAAAACAAAACAAGCATTAGATACGAACTTTTCATTTAAATGATGAAAATCAAAAGGAAAATCTGAAAGTGTAATGAAAGCCATGTCATACAATTAATTCGTAATCATCATCAGTTAAATTAGTTCCCATTACTAGCAACATATGAGGCATGGGCTACTTAAACAATAACAAAAATATTCATCCATTGGAAAAAAAAATTTTTTAAGTTAGTGTTTGAAACTTTAAGTACCTATACCTAAAGTAAATTTCAAAGGTCAAAACTACACATTCTGTAAAGACAAAAAATAAAACATCTAAAGATTGTATGAGTTACAAAAGTAAAGCCTACTCAGAATAAAAGATAAAATTAAAAAGAAAAAAAACCATCTTACCATTTCGAGGAAAACACCAGTGCTTATATTTTCGTGCTTCCCCTTTCTATTCACGTATTCATTCTTTCAATTATCTGTTGAATGCCTTCTATGTGCTATACCTAGCTAAGTGCTGGGAATATAATAAGCAAAGACACAGCCTCCTACTTTCACAGACTTCATAACTGCTTAACATACATTCTTACACACAATTCCTGTCTCCCAGGAGTTTTCAATCTTGCTGGGGAATAAATAAAACAAAGCACAATGCAATATGGGCTACGAGTAATGAACAGTGTCATGGAAATAGTGAAGAAATGTTTAGAAACACAAACCACACCATATCTTAATCAATCTCTCTGTATTTATTGACTCCGAAGTTCAGTGGTTGACGTGGATACCTCACCCATTAGGTTTCCCATTAAGAACGTTTCCAGTTGTGGAAACTGAAGCTCATTTCCTCTTTACGGTGCCTGCTGGTTTATTATGCAAAACTGTATTCACTAAGAGAACTGGTGCCTTGGACCTACACCCTACACCCAGCAATCTGACTAGCGATACCAAGCTAAAATTGGAATATTTAGCCCTCCGAAGGAAAAATCATTTAACTTTCACTTACTGAATTCTGTGGAACAATGTCCTTCAATGAGCACGACTGTGCTAGTGGCCGGATGTCTTTCAGAAGCCCTTCAATATATGGTTCCGTCTTCCTCAGCAACAGACACAAGTCACTCGGCGCTATATGCTGCTCGGTAATGTGTTCTGATCCCACCTGGGCATCACCGACTCTAGGAAGAATTCAAGTAACATTTATAGAAAATAATGCTTCAAATCTAAACTTGCTTTCCGCCATAAAAGGCATGCATTTCTAAGGATAGTCTCCTTAAGCTCTATCTTCTAGAAAGTTACATTCTAATTCATACTTCATTACCATATAAATTTAATCTAGCTTTTATAAGCAAAGATGTTGTTCTCATTAAATCTCAATTGCCTTTATCTAAATTGTCTTTCATACATATCTATTCGGTTTAAAGTTAAAGGGGATAATGATGCCTCCAACTAGAAATCTATTGATTCATAGAGCTATGACTATTAAATAGTGATCGTGCTATAATTAATATTGGTCCTTATGACAGAATCATTTTAAGTTTGTTTTCTTTACCTGGAATACTGAGGGGAAGATTTTTGATTACCTAGTGTGAGCCAGATACTAGGCCATTTTAACATCATTAATGAAACTATAGAAATCTGAGTAAAAGTTTTACTCAATCATCCTGCGGCTAACTGTAACACTTTAAAAGAATTACTTTTGTGCACCATCATTCCCTGCTTTGAAGCAACACAGAAGAGTTCTTAAGTTTGGTTACATCAAAAAGCTCCTTTTCCAAGCTCCCCATCTAGTAACACTGATAATACTTTAGTAAATAGTAAGACAAATTATAGAGCAAAATAAGAACTATATGTCTTGCAAGTGAAGAATGATAAATTATTCTCTCTACCCTTTCCCAATTTCCTTTATTCTTTAGCATCTACCCCCCGCCTCCATCACAAGTTTCTAAACAGGCCAGGGACACACACATGATCCTTATAAAATACCATACCCCTTGACAATTAGGACTTCAGAATTTCCAAAATCTACCATGAATATCTGTATTAGTGCAACTTCACAGACTGAGAGTTTGGTTGGACTAGAATGTTTTCTAATATCTTCATTTTCTATCGGAATTAATTCAGTGATAACTCCTCGACACCATATTCCATTTTCAATACTGCTGACGAATATCGCTGCACCTAAGTAATGAGGAAGATAGATCATTATTAATGTTTATGGAGAAAGAATAGCTAACGAGCTCTAATTTAGGAACATATACTTTAGTTTCACCACTAAGAAGTATTAATTCATCTATCTACTGATGATACAGTACTATGTCAAATGCTACGAGGATAAAGGCAACGCATGATGATGGTTCCTGTTACGCATTAACTTATGAGCTAAAAGGGGAAGTAAAAACAAAGACTACTCAGCAGTCACTTACTGAAAACCTATGTTTTTATGAACTGTAACAAAGGTGAACGAGACCACCCTGCGATCAAGATGCTCAAGAAAGAGACGGACAAGTAAAACGACGCTCACACACTGTACTTGCAATGGTGCAGCCTCCCCACCCGCATGCATACACACGCATACACGCAGGCATGCGCGCACCCTAAAACCTGTAGAATACTTTGGTGACATAAAGGAAGAAACGATGACCTTCTCTTGGTTAAAGAGAGTGAGAGTAAAGAAACAATGAAAGGCAGAGTGTGAAATGCCCAAATTAATATGCAGTGCAGTTCAGAGAAGGGGAAGATGAACCAAGGGCCAAGCAGCAGAGGAAAACCTTGTGGAGGGACCAGATGGCTTACACACCAACCAGGAAGAAAAGAGCAAGGGAGAAAGAGGTCTGCATGAGCATGCTTTACTATGAGCGCGACGCTGTTCTCGGTGCTTCGTGTGTGGACTCACTCCCACAACAAACCCGCAGACACGGTGCTTACATCGCGCAGGTGAGGAAGCTGGGCAGAGACACTGAAAACTCAGCCCAGGCCGCATGGCTTGTTGGGAGAGACGGGGAGAACTGAGTCTCAGAGGCCACCCTCCCAAAACCAAGCTGCTCGTGGAGAGGATCCAGTGAGACCTGACCACTGATCACACACAGAGGGACGCTGTGGAACCCCTCTGCACATGCTAATAAAATCAGGACTGTTGGGAGGCACATCAGGGCAGCCTTCTGAGTTCCACCAAAACCTTTGTTTGCCCTTCAGATTGTTGTTGACCCTTCTCTTAGGATAATATATCACGTAACCAATATCCTTCATTTTAAACTATGTGCTATTAAACCATTCTTATAACAGATGAGATAAAAGTCTATTGAAGCCATCTGTTGTTCTTTATAATGAAGAATGGGCAGTAAAAGGGAATGAGAGGGTACCCCCTCCAAAGCATCCTATCCCATTCCTTCCCTTATCACTAATTTCTCAAAATATAAATGAGTATTTAAATCATATATATTCACCTTGAAATAAAAATTATCTTTAATTTAAAATGAAGGATGAATTTTTGGCTTAGAACATTTTCTGAATCTAAGCTGAGCTATTTTGGGCATGTATTAAATTCTGAAGAATTATTTGCAACCATAAAAATTTAACTCTACACTTCCCTCCTCTTACATACTGATATTTTTTAAGTTTTAAAATTATTAATTTTTGTCAGAAGTATATGATCTTAGGCTTCTGATATTCTAAGCTGCAGTAGATGCCGCCGTCCTCCAGCATCTCAGCAATTATTCTGTGACATCAACGTTCCCATGCGGACATTGGGGGACTGTAGTCACACTACCAGGACGCGTCTTAGAGGAATAGTTTTCCCAGGAGGTGAGGGGGCAAACCACACAACCCGCACTGGGTTTCGTCATTTAAAAAACTCACCTCACTCTGTAACGGAGCTTTTCTGCATGTCTCATGAAGCAATCAATTTTAATATTAAGCTAATTTACCTAAATAAAATTTAACTATGTTAAATAATTCCAAAACTCTTTGCTTGGAGCATAAATCTATATTATAAAAATCTATATGGGTTGGCCAGATATTACAGTATTTACATAAACTTGATATTTACGGTTGGAGTAATGCTTCATACCTAGCTCCAAAATGTCTAAAGGATCAAGGTGTAAGCTTTCAGTGCAAAACCGATTCACCGCCTTTTCCAATACTGTTGCCTCTTTTATTTGTGAATATCTCCGGACGTAGAAGTGGCAAGGATGAATCACATGACTTACAAACACCAGCTCTGGAGAGCCTGGATAAGGATATTTAAACCACGTTAATAAACCACAAGTTAGAGAAGAATTCACAAAAGCTGAATGCAATATCCTCTACAGAACATGCCTGTGGCACTGCAAACTCCAGCATACTTAGGTCCCACAAGAGTCTAAACCCAAACTCGTAAAACTAGACTGCTAAACAAACTAGCAACCGGAACTGCCACTGTTTACTAGCAAAATGTGTTAATAAGTGGAACTGCAGTTCCTGTGGTGGGTAGACTGTGAAGTCAGTTCTGTGCTATAAATCCCCTGTATCACAACAAAACTTCGCAGTTCATTTGTGAACATATTTGGAACTTAGAGCCCCACTGACAAAGTTTCTAATACAATCCCCAAACCCTGTTTCATCTATTCTATCCCCAAAGAACCAATTATGAGCTCATGGCCACTATGAATCTCAAATCCTACCATGTTAGAGGTGTGAAAAGACGTCTGAGCAAAGCCGACATGCTAAGCAGCACTAATGGAAAGAGGTGTGTATTTTGATGGAGGTATTTATGGAGGTATTTTTAGGGCAGGCAGAGTTAAAAGACAGAATTTTTTTGTATAGAAAAGTAATTAAGCCAAGTGTTGTACCTGATATGAAGATCTCCGGAGTATAATACTAAGAAAGGGATTAAAAGAATAGAATACCATTCTTTTAATTCCTTTCTTTAGGTATTAATAGATATGCTATATTTTCTATAGAAAAACAACCCACGTGTATGTTTGTATATGCATAAAGCAGCTCCGGAAGGGAGGGAGCCTGGGTGGAAGGGGGATAGGTTAGGGGAAAGGTTTCACAGGGCATTTTAATACATATATTTAATTTTTGAACAATGGAGATGTTTTATCTGGTAAAAATGTTTAAAAAACAAAGACTAGGAGAACTGGAGTTGGAGACAGCCAAGTATAGATGTTAAAAGTTGAGCAAATGTATCATGTCGATTATCTAATATAGATGACAAAGAATAATATCCATGTTGAGGATGGGGTAGAGATTCATATGTGTCACTGGGTAGACAGCTGAGAGAACTGTTACACATTCCAGAAATATTTTTGCCAATAACAGCCAAAACTTTTAACGTTAAAAAGGAGATATTTTCGTTATCAGGACAATTCACTTTACTCCTTGCCTCCTGCTGTGTAACAGTTACTATACATACAGTGAACTCCAAAGACAGCATCCAGTTCCGAGGTGTTAAAGTACCTGCTTTTGATCCAAAAGGAAGAGACGATTGTTTCTGAAGAGGCTTGTCCAGATATCTAGGTGTCTCTACAAGATAATCTGTGAGGCATGCTTCATCACAATAGGAAACAAGGCAATTGTACTAATTTTATTAAGTTGACAACACGTACTATTGTTTAAAAAGCTGCGCCTGAATTGGCAAAATCCTGGAATGGCAAGACCCCTTGTATCAGTAGGTGAAGTCCTGAGAGTCTTAACTCACTGAGATGTCAGTGATGATAATGCAGTAGAGGAAGGGAAAACAGCATGTCCCTTTTTTTTTATTCAAATGTCATTCTGGAGAGTCAACCAGAGAAACAGATGTTGGCAGGAGAAAGAGAACCAAGCAGATTCTGCAAATGGCCCTAGAGAAGACTGGCAGTGTAAGTACACACAGCAGTATCTCTGTGTTAACAGAGAGATGGCAATGTTGGACATCTAATCCAGTAACTATGATGCACTTAAATGTTATAAAAGATGCTACTGTATTCATAATAGTTCATTTTATAATATTATATCTCAGAATAATGACCTAAGAGAAATTTAAGCAAAGTCATGAAATTGCTTCTACAACTCTCATTTATATTTTCATTTTTTATACAAGGTTTATACGTGGAACAATAAAAAGTCAAATACTCTACTTAAATCAAACAATAAATTTACATCTCAGAATTTAGCTATATCATTGTATTAAAAATAAAGATTATCCTAACTTTAAAAAATGTGACAGTCGGGGAATGGTATATGCTAACGGCAATACATTTCTGTTAAGTACAGGGACAGGAAGGTACTGATTTTGTTTCCAATTACAAACACAATATATTGTTTCCTTGCTTTTGTATTTTTACTCACTTTCCAGGTTCTCTTCAATAATTTCTTCAATGATCACATCAGGGCTGGATCCCATCCGAGGCAGAACAGCAATGGTTTTAGGGGATGTCGCTGCCACGATCTCTTTCTGTGGCTGGAAGGTTCTCGCTTCTAAATGCACATCACTGGTTTCCGGTTGCAAGGGAGGTGGTGGGGCTACATTAGTTAGCACAGACACATCAACCTTTTTCTCTTCAGGTGATGGGTGTGTATCGTGACAAGAAAATTCCTTTTCATGATTATATTTCTTTTGAATATTCTGGCCATTTTCATTTTCTTTGGGATCACATCTGTTTAAAAATAGAGGCGCATGGCCACTTTAAATCATTTCATAACATTTTAATATCCTTTCCATATAACAGTTAATACTGGAACACACACAGAGGGGGAAAGTTATATAGTTGCCCAGGGGTATTTTTAAACAATTTTACTGATATATAATTTACACACCAGAAGATTCACTAATTTTTACTGAATTTACAGAGTTGTGCAACCATCACTGCAGTCTAATTTTAGAACACTTCTATTACCCAAAAAGGAACGTTTGCCCATTCTCAGCTCCACGTGAGCCCAAGGAGTTCAGGAGGGCCACGAGGGGGTCATCCCTGAGCAGCTGAGAGCCTGAGAGCCGCATCAGACATCGGGCCCCAAAGGACACGGGTTTTCAAAAGACGTCGTCCTGATCTGGCTTGGGTGTTTGATTTTAACCATCTTCCATTCAGAAAAAAAAGTGCGGCTCGCTGCCAGTGTTAATTTTACATAAACACGCTCTTTGAGGCTGAAGCAAATCTAGTTTCCAATGTGAAAATGCAAAAACTGTTCTTGGATTATTTCTACACTGAACTTGTCTGGAACCCTAACGTAACAGAAATACACATGATCAACATCTATACTTCTTTTCGTGTGGTACATTTTGAAGCACGGAACAACACAAAGCAGAACATCACGTTTCGCATAAAAACACTGTGTGTCTCTCCAGGTCTCCTCACCGTCCTTGTCGCTGTGCGAGCAGCACGCTTGCAGCAACTGGCTGGATTCCGTTTCCCTGATGTCAGTGGCATGCTCTTGGTGAAATGTTTTCCAGACAGGTGAGGAGGCGTGATGTCATCAGAGCATGGACGACCTCTGCTGTCTGGTCTGTGACACTTCTCCAGCATTCTTTCAGGTAACGTCAGTCTTACGTGGCCAATCATGTGCTCGGGACTGTTGTTCCTGAGCAGGAGGCAGGAGTTCAGCACTGTAATGTGTAGAAGGTGGCGAGAACGTCTTATACCCAAACCTGTGCCTTTTGCGCTCAGTTGGCTAAGAAGTGAGCGTCTGATCAGCCGAGATCGCTGCTCCCACATGCTCGTTATAATCCACAATGACACATGGCTTCCTAGTTTTCTTTCCACTTCTGTTGTCTACTTCAACCACAGTACCATTGTGGAATGTTGACAACACTGTCACCTCCTTGGCATTTCAGTGCCGTAAGTTCACCACAGAATCTCGCTACACTCGTCCCCTTTGCAATTCTTTTTGTCAGATCATTTGGCATCTGTTTTCTGTTCAAACGAGCTGTTCCGACTGCATCAATCCTGTTTTGATGTAATTCTCTGAAAAGCATAGGAGATATATGGCAAATGCTGGGGATGAGGTTACGACTGTGATCCGCGAGTTATCTCGAGGTAAACGTTGCAGCCGCAAGTGCTGTTAGCGAGTATTCACGGGGCAAATGGGATAAATTATGATAAGATTATTTATTCTTTTAATCACAGGCTTAAAAATAAAGTGTAGGAAACAGTGAAAGGTACAATCCTGACCAAATGATTAGAAGCCTCTGCCTTGGCTAGAAATCACCCTTAGTCTGAATCCTTTGGGTACGACTACTCAATGGCCCTCTAACCCATGGCTGGTTATTTACTCCGTTTATCCATATTTTTCTATTGTCTTCACATATCCACACAGATTTAGGCTACCCAATCTGCGTGTATGGAAATTCTATCAAAGAAATGAGTCTGGGTTTCAAAAGCTTGTATTTAGATGGATTCAGCTTTATCACAGACCATCATTTAAGAAGCATTTCAGACCTAAGAACCAACGAAGGCAAATGGTTTCAGCAGTGACACCTCATCTGTCTCTTCCAACAGAGGACGTGCAAGCCAAGTCAGTACACGTTGAACAAAGGTTGGACACCTTTGGAGGACACATGTGCATATGGTTTGCGATTTGAACGTTTCATCTTATAACTCTCACCTGACCTCACTAAGACATCTAACACTGTCGCCCAGCTCCGGTCTCATAAACCCCTCCCTGACTGCTAGAATGCCACTGTCTTTGGGCTTCTGCTGCTCCTTCTTCATTTTTTTGTTTATTACAGGTTACCCTTTCCCTGTCCTAAAATCCTTATTTTTCTAGGGTACTGTCCTTGACTTACTTCAATACCAGCTCTCACTGGATAAATGTGTTTTCCAAATACCACCTATAATCAGTAGATGCAGATTACGGTGATGCTTTCCCTAAAAACTAGGAAAAATCTTAATACTGAGTTAAATTTAAGATCAATGGACTCTTAGAATAGCTTTTGATATTAAAAATATTTGACGGTAACTATATTCAAGTTATGATGATGTCTAAGAGAGGGTATTGATTGGGAAATGATTACCCGCAGGGGCTTGAACACTGAAGTCAGAGGCAGACGTGGGCCGAGGCTCCACACTGGGCCGGGGACAGGCACTCCGCAAGGTCCTCCCTGTGGGGCAAGATACGCAGCAGGCTCTCCAGGCCTGGTGTTGCTAGGCTATTTAATCTTACTCCCTGTATTCCAAACAAGACTGCGACAAAGCACCTCAAGGCTGACCATCTGGCTTCTTGTGTCTGTCTGGATACTGGAAGAGAATGCCCGCAGCAGGATCCCAGCCCCTGCCCTCTGAGTTAGCAAAAAGGCATTCTCGCTTCATCAGTTTTGTGAATCTCCTACGAGTTTTCCTAGCTCAGCGTGAATCTGCTCACATCTGTTTCTGAGCTTACAAAAATGTGGGCTGGACTCCGTTCAGTCCTCTGTGGTGGTGAACTGATGTTTCTTGGGGGATGTCTTACTTTTCGGGGGAGTTTCTACACCACATATATTCTGACTCCTGAATCTAGAATCAAGTCCAAGACATCTTCTTAAGCCCCAGCACGTACAGCCACTGCCATGTGGACACTTCTCCTAGATATGTAGTGGACAACAGTCACTTGGCACATCCACCATCTGGCCCTCTCAACTGTCCTCCTGCACTCCCAGTCCTGGTGGTTAATCCCAGGACCCCTGACCTTAACGCCAAAGCCGGGCCTGTAAACTGGTGGGGATACTTCCCCACCCTCGTCCCCCATGCTCACACCAGCACTAAGTCCTACCGACTCCCCATCTGGCACTTGCCTGACCTTTCACTGCCAGCATCACCACCTACATTTGGTTTCTCATCATTTGCTGAGACTATTGACAAAACAGTCCAATTGATCTTTTGGCTTCCAGCCTCATGCTCTTCCAAATAATCCTCTAAATGGTCACGGAAGTAACTTACAAAAATGGTAAGCTTGCCTGCCTTCACCTAACCTGGTGAAGGAAATAGACATACAACCCCAAGTTCAGAGAGTCCCAAACAAGATGAACCCAAAAAGGCCCACTTTTGGGTTGCACTGTCAAGCTGAAGATCTCCCATTGGTCTTCTGCTGTCTACAGCTGTGCCACCCAGGAGACCTTCTGGCAACCATAAAAATGTGCCGTGTTGTCTGATGTGGCGGCTTCCAGCCACACATGGCCACCGAGCACTTGAAATGTGGCCAGTGTTAACTGAGGAGCTCGATTTCTCAAAGTATTTAGTTTATGCTTACATTTAAATGGCCACCTGCGGCTAGTGGTTGCCACCCTGGACAGCACGGGTCTAGGAGATAATGTCCAGATGCCTCTGCGCAGCAGCAGCAGCAGCATCTAGGACTCAGCCTCCGCGTGCTCTCCGCCTGTGCGGGTCCCTGCGCGCAGCATGGCATCCATCGCCCAGGCGCTTCTTGCTGCTGGGATGCCCACTTCCCTTTTGTCCTCCATTCCCATTGCTACTCATTTTCACGCATGAGGGAAAATGACATCCTTTTCCAGGTCCCGTTACCCCGAAAAACCGACTGTTCCCTTCCTTTGCGTCTCCAT